TAATTATTGTAAAATGTTTTAGTTAAATTAACATTTATTTTAATTTTATTGTATTTTTTTGGTTCAAATTGATAAGGTTGAATAGACATTTTATTAGAAATTAAACTAAGACAGGGCATGAATTAACGCAAAAAAATCTAATCGCGAAAAAATATATATATTTTTGCTCCCCCCCTCTCTCTTATAGCTTGGGTTGATGTGCGGTAATGGGGGAGGGGGTTGCGTTAGTATAAAATTGTCTCTTTAGCACGTAATTGTTATCTTTTAACATACTATCTCTCATATTTAAATGTTATCTTATGGTTTTCTTGTTTGGCGGAGTTTAAAATTACGTAAGTTACTATTATAATTTACAGCTTAAATTATAAAGTTTAAGTTAGCAGTTACAGTGTAATGAGCAAGTAACATATTTAATACTATTAATTAAGTAATTGTTTTTACTTAACATGATACTTAAAAAAGTAAAAGTAAAAAAATTAGAGTAAAAAGCAAACATTACTATATTTCAGTGACGGATCCAGGGGGAGGATGGGGGTATGCACCCCCCTCCACCAGAATCTGAAAGTCTTGAAAATATCATAGAAATTGAGGACCTTGTTTTTTGCTTTTTTTTTTTAGGAGACGCAAACATGGTATGAAATTCAAAAATATTTCAACATTACCCTCCACCAAAAATTCCTGGATCCGTCACTGCATTATTTAAACCACTTTAATCAGTCATAGAAAACTGTTTAATACGATCATGCTGATGATAAAACACCTGTTTTTAATGAGTATTTAATTGTTATTGTAAAAAGCTATAAAACAACAAAAAACAAAAAGTTGTCTTTAAATATAAATAGCTTGTGTTAATGTAAAACATCATGACGCTGTTTTGTTGCTGTTTTATACAGTTTAATAACATAAAATGCGTTTAAAATAAAACGAAGCAAATAAATGAATTGTTTTAATTAATAAATTAAAAAATTATCGTCAATAAATCAAAAAGCATTGTCAAAAACTTAATAAAAAATTAGATACCACGTTTTTTATAATTTATTGTTTCTTGAATAAAGGACTAATAAAAGTTTAAATACAATTAAGTTTTTTATTTAAATGGTTTTTAAGTTGATATTTTTGTTCAATTTTTCTATTTCAATTGTTTTCCAATAAAAAGTGAAACAAAAAAATTTGGTTTAATAAATCGAATTATACTTCATGTTTTAAATAAGGCTTAAAAACGTTAAAGTAAAAAAATTGCTGGTTTTTATTAGCATTTTTATACTGTTTGAAAAAAAAAAAACTAATAAAAAAGAATTAGCTACTAATATATTAATTAATAATTATTAGAATTAATAATAATAATTAATTCTTTATTATTAGTTTTTTTTTTTCACACAGTATAAAAATGCAAATAAAAGTCAGCAATTTTTTTGCTCTTACGTTTTTAAGCCTTATTTTAAACATGAAGTTTTGATAAACAAAGATAAAAACAAGGCTGTTTTGTTAGAATAAAGAAAAAATTCAAATTAATGTCTTTTCCCTTTTCAACTTTTTGCTTTAACGACCTTTTTCTACGCAGAGATTTATAGTAATTTAAATTCAAAAATGTTTTACGTTGAAAGAAAATCTCAGCGCGAAAGAGCAAATCATTTATTCATCTATCTACTCAGAATAATAAATTTTGTGTGACGTTCTTTATGATAAAAACATTACTTTTAAGAATTGCTAAAAAAAAAATGCTAAGCTAGAAAAAAAGTAATTAAACAAAAAAAAAAAAAATCATGAAAAGATTTTTGGTAAGAAAAAACTAATCGCGAAAGTGTGAAAATCAATCGCGAACGCGATATGCTTAATACGAGCCCTGTAAGACTTTTTTTATAAGTTCTAAACTATTTAAAACTATTACTTAATAACTTATTTTTAACGACGTCTTTCAACTGAATTCTATTATACTGTTTTTGCAAAACTAATTAAAAAAACTTGATTAAAACTTAACTATTTAATCACTATTCTAAAGTTGTTGTGACGTACTAACGTGATTTTTAACAAGTAACAATCGAGTTTCAATGGTAAAAAATTTAAATCAAAATGGAGTTGTTTTTCAGTGATTTCTGCAATTGCTTTTTGTTAGCATGCATTTATTATTACAGTTTAGTGAAGAAAAAAAAATGTACACATTTTTTTTTAATGCTCTTTTATATGAGATCATATGTTAGGAGCACTTAGGTATCCCTTCAAAGTTTAACATATGCCATTATATTTTTAAAATGATATCAGGCAAATGGAGCTTTTTTTTTACACATTTTTATTCTTTTAACAAAATTTTTGCAATTCTTCATGTTATCTCCTAATAAGTGTATAGCTCTAAAACTCAGTTTAATGGTTCTGAGGCCAGCTGGTGGTAAGTTTTCCCAAACTATGTGGTAGCTCTCACAGAGGCTGATACTATTAACAGCTTTAAAATATCAGAGTATTAACACTACCATGTTGCATATAGATGCTGTTTCTGTTAGTTGTTTTACATTACATTGTTGAGGCCACATAATGTGCTTTAAGTAAGGTTAATCATCAATGTAGCGTTAATCATAACGTAAGGTTAATTAGCCGGACTGAGGGAACTGCATAGCTTCGAATGTCATGCTCTATTTCTGAATGAGTCTGAAGTTATCTTTAACTTAAACCATGACCAAATTAACTAAAAATATTAAACATAAAAATCATCACCACCACTAAACTGTTTCAAATATGCAAAAACAAATATGCATGGTTTTTGAAGCACCTTTCTATCAGTTGAATTTGACCACTTGCAAAACTCACTAGACTTTCACTTGTTCTTTGTGAAACTAATTTGAATTTGGTTTTTTTATTTTTTTCAGATTTCAGTATTTAATGCTATCTTTTAATTTGCCTAAAACTTACGCATGCATTTATTTATGTATCAATTTATCTGTTTGTCGTGAAATCAAGTTTGAATCCTCTGGCTATTTTTTAAATGCTTTCACTTAGCATCTTATCACTCAATCACCTTTCTCTTTGTTTTTTTATTGTTCTTCTCAAGATTCCACTCTTTTAGATGTAATCTCTGACCTTACTGATCAGATCTTACTCTTTTATTGTTATTGGTAACTTAAATTCTCATCATGCTGATTTAATTGGTTCATGGCTTGCTTTAAATCTTAAAACCTCTCAATTTCTTACTCGGTTACCTTGTAACTCGTTTTCAAGGCAATCCTTATCACTTACTTTCACTCCTTGATTTGTGACTTGTATCTGACCCTAGCTTGTGTTCAGTTTTTTCTTGTTCTCCTAAAGGTAGGTCCGACCATGTAATGAGCTCTATAAATCTTTTATCTTGCGCTTCTTCTTTAAACTCAGTTCATCATTGCACTACTTACTAAACTACACTTTTTTTTGTGACAGTCTTTAACCCAATGTTTTTACTCTCTCTGATAAATGTGTCTCCTATGTAACCTGGATGAAAGCAGGTATAAAAGCTTTTATTCTTTCTTGTTGTTTTCGATTTAAGTCTTTTTCTACTCCATGGTTTTCACCTTCTTGTGTTGCTGCTATATCTAATCATAATTATTTTTTTATCTTTTTCAATAGAATTTTATGAAGGTGAACATTCTGTCTCTAATTCAGGGGTCTGATCTTATCTCTCCTAAGAATAAGGCAGAACTGTTTACTATGAACTTTTACTTCTAATTTGACTCTTGAATCTTATGACCATACTCAGTTAAACAGGTTAACTCATTGTTAGACATTCGAATCACTTCAACTTCAGTTGCGAAAGTCATATCTCGATTAAACTCTTCTACGGATTGTGGTCTTGAAAACATTTCTGTCATAGTTTCACAAAAGCGTTTTCCAGAACTCTTTAGTTCTCTCTAAACTATTTAATGAATGCTTGACTACATTTTGTTTTCCTGCCTGCTAGAAAATGGCATCTGTGGTTCTAATTTTAAAAAATTCTAGAGAACATTTTTTAAATTATCATTTCTTTTTAACTGTAGTAAATAAATCAACTTTGAAGGCCAACACTTTTTTTCACTTTCAGTAACTTCTAGTGTACCTCAAAGTTCTATCCTTGGTCCTATTTTATTTTTTATCTACATTAATAAAATTCATAACAATCCTTTATCCAAAGTTGCTCTATTTACTGACAACTCAGCTTTATTTTTCTGTCTTGACTAAAAGTCTTTTCTTTTTGATTGCTTAGAACAAGCAGCTGGTATTGAATCTGACCTTTTTTTTATTATAACTTTTGTTTTCTTTATTCAATACTTTCCTTCACTTTGACAGTATTTGCTGTTGACCAAATTGAATGTGCGCATATTAGTGTTTTTAAATTAAGCACTGAACTAGTAGATTCAAATTTTGAAAAACAGTCAAAATTGTGTTTCTATTCAATTCAGAGTGTGTACCTTTCAATTTTCACCATTCATGAAAAACTTAAAAGAAAAGTTGAAAGTTTGATAAAAAATGATTTTATGCTGTTTATTATTTATGCTGTTATTTATTTATCTTTATTTTTAATCTGGGATAGGGTAGAAGTTGCTGATACTGCACTAAGCAACCACTGAGTGTAAATGATGCCAACAGACATAGCTATATCACGAATCTCTTCTGTTAATATCTTTGGAATGGTTTTCAATAGAAAATACATTTTTAGGGAACACAACGCTTTCCCCATAAATCATTTCATGATACAATAAACCAGGAATACAAAATTTTAATTATTTGTGATGGTAATTTCTTACCATCACAAACAATCTAGCTAACTTCTGATAATCCTTTTTTGTTTTACCTAAAATTTGTTTTACCTAAAATTTGTTTTACCTAAAATTTGTTTTACCTAAAATTTGTTTTACCTAAAATTTGTTTTACCTAAAATTTGTTTTTAAATTTGTATTAGTTTTACTTATTATGTTGTAATAAATATAAAAACAAATGTTGAAATTATTTTTAATAACCAATTACAAACAATACAGTTTTTAATCTGTTAAATCTTTTATTAGACACAGAAACAGTTTGCATTGAAGATAAGTCATGCAGAGAGCAGTTCTTATCTCTTCTTTCTGCAGTTATCGTAAGTTAAAAATAAACCTTTTTATTTCTATCAAATACAAACACTCATAAATTTATTTATTTTTAGTTCAATTTGATTTAATGGTCATTTGATTTAATGTTACATGAATTTAAAGTTTTGTACCAATTTTGATTCAATTTTAAAATAATTTTTAGTTTTTTTTTGCTAAACACATGCATAAAACCCTTTGAAATATTCCAGAGGTTTTTATGGCGTATGCTTAAATACAATTAAGATTAGTTTTGTTTAATTTTTTAAATATAAATTTTATATATGAAAGTAAATTATGAAAATTCAGGATTTAAAAAACACCTCAAAATAAAAAATAAAAAAAAAAACATGTCATTATCTATTAATCAGTTGTGCTCTAAACAATTCAGAAAAAAAAAAGTTTTAAAAGACTTTTTATCTGCTATTAAATAAACATTTAGGGAAAATAGTTTTTCAGGTACCAGGGCTCAATTTAACGGTCGGACATTGGACATAGTCCGGCTAAAGCCTCAAATTGTCTGATCAATTTACAAAGTTAATCGGATATTTTGGCCAATAGAAATTAAAATTCTATAAAATAAATACTTTATTATATTTATAAAAATTAAAAGTAAAGTAAATTGAAAATAAATTAAAAGCTTTAAAATAAAACTCAAAAAACTCGAAGTTAAAATTACTTTTTGTAACGTTTTTAATTGCGTTTGAAATTACTTTAAAATTTATGTTTTGAAATGTTTTATTAACCCTCCGTTGGGCGCGCTTGATCAAATTGAACATGTCAATCAATTTTATTGAGTTTTTGAGTAATGACTCAAAGTTCTGCTTTTTAGTAGCTTCATTTTTTCCCTTCTTTTATTGTTCTACATCATCCAACATGTTTAAGTCACTTTATATGAATTGATTTTTATCATTTTGATCAAATTGATACATTGCGCCCTTTTATGTTACATTTTATAAGTTTGATTATAATAAAAAATATTATACCTGGTAAATACATTTTTAAATTTGTAGACATAATTTGATATTATTTATTGTTCAGTTCAACGGGAATGTATTTTTTTGAATTAAAATATCAAATTGATACATTGCGTCTTAGAGCGTTATTGGTTACAAAAGTCTTTACTACAAAAGGTTGGATATAAATCTAACCTTTTATACTTATAATTAAAACATTTTTTGTTTATATTTTTAAAATATATTTTAATTTGTTTATCTTTTTTTTTAATATATTAGTAATTCCTCTTTTTAACCTCTAAAATGAATGAAATGGATTATTTAATCTTGAAAGTTCAAAAGATATAGAGAAATTTCAAAAAAAATCTATTAGATAGAAAAGGAGGTAAAGATTAAAAAAAAAGATTATATTTTGGCAATGCTCAACCTGTTGTTAGAAGAAATATTTTCTTAAAGAGATGTTTTCATGAATTAGTGATGCCTTAACTTATTTCAAGAAGTGTAAAAAAAAAAAGAGGATTACCAAAAGAACTCAGTGATAGTTTACATCACTTTAGAACAATCCCAATTTTAGGACAAACCCAAGATAATATTAGAAATCAAAATAAAAATAAAAGATGCCAGACATGCACCCAAAATAAACGATTAACAAGGTATAAGTATCAACAATGCCATCAACCTATTTGTTTGACACAGAGCTAACAACGTCGGTGGGGGGGGGGCATGTACCCAACCACTTTTTTGCGAAAGTACTTTTTTTTTTAAAGAAATTTCTAGATATAGAGGACTTTAATAGTCACTGGAAATATGTATTAATCTGATCAATGCGCCTCTTTTATTGAAAAAAGCAATTGTGATGGAATTTTAATTATTGTAAATCTTTCATATTTGTTCAAAGATTATTTAAACAGTTAATTAAAAAAAAATGGAGGGTTAAAGTTACGCAAAACGCTTTTACAAATTATTTCTATTGATTGTTTAATAAATAAACAAATTTTATTTAAATTATTGAAAAGAAAAAAATATAATATTTTTAAGTTAAAACATTTTTTTCAAAAAATTGCAAAAAAAAAAATTGTTTAAAAAAACAACATTGTCTTTTTAAAATTGTAATTTTTAATCATTTCATTCTTTGATTAAGAGACAAGTTAAAAAAAAAAAAAAAAAAAAAAAATTTTAAACAGTTCTTTGTAAAAATAGAAACAAAAAATAAAGACAATTTTTAATTTAACTTCATAATTTAAAGTAATTTGAAAATAATAATCTTTTAATAAGAAATTTTAAGAAAGACTTTCTGTGATAAATTTAAATGTTTGAAACTATTTTAAAAATAATTTCAAACGTTTAAATTTATTACTATCTTAAAAATAGTTTCAAACATTTAAATTTAGCATAAAAAATACATACATAATAAAAAAAAAACTAAATATAACATTTAATTTAAACATAATGCGTTTATTTTAAATTATAATTTTTGGTTATTTTTATTGTTATTATTATTGTTATTATTATTATTATTATTATTAACATCGCTATTTATGTTATTTATGTTACATTGTTATTTTTATGTTATAAAGTTTATTATCGCCATTATATATTGTGAAAATTAGCATTATATTTATTTTAATTAGATATTATTAACATTAGTAGGTGTTTACTTTATATTAGTAAATTTACTATTTGTAAACATCCTTGAATGTAAAAACTCAATTCAGAAATAAATGATTGATTGATTGATTTTATTTAATGTTTTTAAAAGTTTTGATTTTGTTTAAAGTTTTTTAAAGTTTTGATTTTATGCCTTCATGTAAAATAAAAACTTTTAAAAAGATCAACGATTAAGAGTTATTTGTAATGTAACGATTTTTTTTTGTTGTATTTAATAATTAAAACATTAAAACAGCCGCTGTCAAGTTGTAAAGAATAAAAAAATGAGCGTTGTCAGTTACAGTCTATCTAAAAAAACATACAATATTAAATTGGAACTATTTTATTAAAAAAAAAGCAAAAGTGTGCGATAAAATATTTAAAATAACTAACGTTAAATAAACTTAATAACACGACAAAGATTTCAATGGTTCTGTAAAACCATTAAAATTTTATCAAAACAATTTGATTGGACACTGTCCGACGCAAACAAGTTTCGATCGGACATTTTGTCCGGGACTTTATAAAAAATTAAATTGAGCCTTGGGTACTATACAGAAAATACATTTTGTTTATGTAGAGAAAAAAATAATTAGTGAAAATAGATCTTGACTAATCTTGAGGTCTAAATATATTTTAATCAAAGCTGTATTTTGAATAATTTAATGTAAAGAGAAAAAGATAAAAGCAGAATGAATAAGTTCAGAGAAAAAGATTTTTATGGTCTTTATGAGCTCTAAATATTATATATTGAAGTTAAGTAATTTTTTACTTAATTTCAAATAGCTTGTCTAAAAAGGACTTGGCGAACTGTGAGGTCTGCCTGCCTAGATGTGAGGTCTCTGAGGTCTGCCTGCCTAGATGGTCTTGCACAGACTTTTTAAAGAAGTTTAAATTATTTTGTTTTGATGATAATTTTTAATATTTCCTTGTAACTTTTATTTTGTTTCTTTATTATTCCAGGGATGGCTTTTTTTTTAGTAATAAAAAGGCAAAAAACAGGCTAGCATTTTAAAACAATGTCTTATTTCTGCTTAACTTTTTTTTTTTTTTTTAATATTATTTTTATATTTATGTAATAATTTAGTTATTAATTACTGTAATAATATAAAATTGTTCTAACATAATTAAAAAACATTTTTAATAAAACAACAATATAAAAATATACAATATAACTTTGTTTTATAAAAACATATACTATGTATTATTATAAAAGTTCATTCATTTCTCTTCTTTGTGAATAAAAGTCTTTGAATTTCAAAATTTTGACAGTACTATAATACCAAGTGGGACAATAACAAATTATTAAAAAAAAACATTTAGCAAATGAGTTAGGTACTTGTAAAGTTAAGATAAGTTAAGAGCTATTTGAATGTGTTTTTGTGTGTGTGTTTTTTTTCTATATTTTTGTTTCAATTTGCTTCTTTTCTCTTGAGTGACTCATACTTGTTAAGTTTTTTTTGCAACACATGCATATATTTTGCCTACTTCTTAACATACTAATCATTCAACTTAAAACGTAATAAGAAACTGAATAGTGAGTACTTTATATGAAACAATTATGCGGAATAATTACTGTTGTTTGAAAAAACTGTTTGATTTTATTTTTTACATCATAATATTAGATTATAATCAAGTAAGTTTTTTTAGTTCATGCTAAATTAAATTTTTTTGTTTTTTAATTTAAAAAAGAAATAGTTTTAACTTGGCATCCATGTCAAAACAGTTTTAAAGTTTGCCATCCATGTTGAAATTATATTATGTGAGAAATTTTTAAAGAAAAACTAAATAAAAAACATCAACCTATTTAACAATTAAAAAAAAAATTTATATTTTGTGTAGGCTTTTATTTTGCCAATGATAAACTGACTTACACTGGTGAGCAGGTAGGCGCGAACTATAGCCTGTCGTTCTTGCCGAAGCCTGGATTATATATAATCTTTATAGTTTTATGAGCCATTTGTTTTGTTATTAATCAAAAATTTTTTTTTTTAAATATAGACAGTGGTTCCAGATGGCGTTTTAAAAGAAAGGTTAGATCCAGAAACGTTAGAGTCAGCTGGTTTTATTCAGTCACAGAAAGTGTTCAATCAAAAACTTGTGAGAACAAAGACAAAGTTATTGTAAGCAAATATATATATATATATATATATATATATATATATATATATATATATATATATATATATATATCTTAGAGAAATTATAGTATACTGCATGTATATAAATAATCTGCGTTCACTGTATGTGTGTCAGTTTTTCTACACCTTAATATTTTCTTGAGCAATATGTACTCAGAAAAGCTATTTTTAATGTTTATTTTTATTTGTATTAGCTACAAACAGCAAAAGTACAATCTTTTAAGAGAAGAGAGTGAAGGATATGCTAAGTTAATTACAGAATTAAGTCAAGACGTATCACTTTCAAACCAGGCTTCAATGCTTGAAAATATAAAATCATTACTGGGTACAATTTCTAATTTGATATATTTTTTCAGATTTGTTTTTTATGGTGATTAAATGTTGTTGTTGTTTTTTTAAATATGTATTTCTGATTTTTTTAAATTTTATTTAAAATTTTTTTTTAATTATAGAAAATTGTAAAAATCTAAAATCCTTCGTATACTTTTTGTAAACAACTAACATTAAAAAAATTTTAACTTCTCAAATTTTCAGTATAGTGATTTTATCTATTGATAAAAAGTTAGTCTAATATTTAATTTAAAAATCTTTAATTCAAAATGCAAAAAATCAAATTGTGAAAGATTTCTTTGAAGAAAAAAAAAGATATGCTCAAGCTTCGCAAATTATAAAATGTAATAGTATTTATATATATCAATTCACAATTGCAAATAAATTTAATCAATTCTTTCTTGAAATTTTCTTTATTGAAATCAAAGCAAAACATGGCTAATAGCAAATAGCAAGTTGAAAATGGAAAAGAGTTTAGCAAAGAAAAAGAGTGTCATAAAATTACTTATGTTAATGTCAACTACCTATTTTGTAACAAATTTTATGATGATCATTTATCTGTATTTGCTTTAGAAATCATTTTTGAAACTTAAAATTGAAAAAAATGCATCAGGGAATATGATACGTGATGAAATTGTGTGTATGAGTTTTATCTAGCCAATAGATTAGAGGGAAAACCATTCACCATTTTCTTTCTGATTCATACTTTGTAGTGAGATCAATAATCTGATAAATTATACAAGAAGTACCATCTATTGAATTATTGATTAAGCTGAAAACAAATCTGGCTACCAAAAAGCTACAGGTCGTAGCAAAAAACCAAAAAGGTGAAATTTTTCCAAAAAGAAGGCAATCCACCAAATATCTAGAATTGCATCCAATTGAAAATTTCTAGAGCATTCTGAAAGGAAATGTCTATGCAAAAAATTGGCAGGCAAAATGTTTAAATCATCTGCGCCAAAAGAATGAGAAATGCCTCAAAAAAGTCAACATGGTCAGCATACATTTTGCACAACAAGTTCAAGCTCTTGTTGATTCTGTTTGATGACATGGCTTAATGGAAGATCAATAAAACTTTTCACAATAAAGAATGTGATGCTCTAATTAAATCATTTTAGTTTTTTGAAAAATATTGAAAAAAAGAGTTACATCTTGTTAAACTTTGTCCTATTTTCAACTTGCCACCAGTTAAGGTTTCTATCTAAAAAAAGCTTTAACACAAGTAGAAAAGTGATTTTTGTTTTTTACTAAGTTATCCTTTGAAGAGTTTAAAAAAACTGTGTCTCTTTTAGAAAGAAACAAATCAGTTAACAATTTGGTTCTCTTTGAATTAATTTTAACTTTTTTCAAAAAATGAAAAATTGTTAATACAATGTTGTTAATGATGATTTTTTAAAATTTGTATCATAAAATTTAAATTTTTACATAATAAAAACATTCAAATATAAAATTTTATTTTTTCAAAGTTTAAACATTAATTCAATGTTGATTTTGACTGTTGTTACAAATTATTATCTTTGGTATGTCATCTTGAATCTTTCAGTTTATATTTTATTAATAAAAATTTTCTTTTGCTAATTTATTATTTGTAACATCTAAGAAATGTTGTTGCTTTAGATGCAGTGAGGCAAGTGGCATTTTTTTAAGATGCATTGAGGCAAGAGCTATTTCTTTTTTAGATACATCTAAGCGAGAGCCATTTCTTTTTTAGATGCAGTGAGGCAAGAGCCATTTCTTTTTTAGATGCAGTGAAGCAAGAGCCAATTTTTTTTTTTATAATAAAGGTTTTTAACGAAATTTGCTCTTATTTTTGGATTTGTGAAGCTTTAAGTTTATCAAGTATACTTCAAAAATTCCTCAAAAAATTACTAAAGTTTTAGTTAACTAGGTTCTTTTGTTTAATTTTTATAAATCCCCAACAAGTGCCAACACAAATTGTTTTTATATCTTAATTAGACCTTTGGTCTATATAAAAATAAGTAAGGAGTTAATAGTTTTGTTTTGGTGAGTTAATTGAACTCACCAAAACAAAATCTTTATCAGTATATCATCATAAAACTTTATCATTTTTATGATGAGGAATTAATGGTTAAAGCTTTAACTAATTTCTTGTCATCCTCTATTTTGACAATGTAGTCTAATATAAATTTAAATGAAAAAAGGTTTTATCTTAAACTTAAAAACAATAATGAATAATTTTTAATTTAGGATTTTTCAATCTGGATCCAAATCGTGTGCTTGATATTTTATTAGAAGCCTTTGAATGTCAGGTAGATGAGGATTTGTTTTTCATACCGCTATTAACAAGTTACTTATCACATTGTGACATCTCTGGTTTTTGTCATCTTATTGGTTTTAAATTTCAGTATTACCATGTAAGTATAATTGATGTTTTGATATTCAATGCAAAAATTTATTAGCTTAAAGAAAGTTTAGTTTAATTTAGTCAATATTAAATCAATATTTTTGATGATGCAAATATATAAATTAAGAATAACCAAAAATATGCTCTAAAAAAATATGTTTTGAAGCACTTAAATTGTGTACTAAAAAATTGAAGCAGATGAAATATACTCAATAAAACTTTTTATATCCTACTGTGTTTCTAATAACAAATTGGCATAAATGTAATGAAAAAACTTATGATATTGTAATTATTAATGAGTTTACTTAAATATTGTAATTAATAATGATTTACTATATTGAATATAGTAAATTTACTATATTTAATAATATTATTTTATGCTAAATTTGCTTTATGTAAAGAATATGTGCAAATATATGCTTTTAACAATGAAATAATTATCAGGCCTTGTTTTAAAAATGCTTAAGACAATGGCCTAATGTGAATTTGACTTCATAAAATTCTCTTTATTTTTATAATTTTTATGACAAACTTTTTTTAATTACTGCAATAATATTAATTACTGCAAAATGAGTTAAATGTTATTTAACTTCTTTTTTATTATTACTATTAGGGAACGTTTATTTTTTTTTAATTTTTTTTTTAATATTAAATAATTAAATTTAATATTACATTTTTAAAAATGTTTGATATTAAAAAAATTTTTTTCTTTTGTCGACTTTAAATATGTTTTGTCAACTTTAAATATGAATTGAAATATGTTAAATTTTTAAATGATTGTTTCTAATGATTCTATTTGTGGCCTTGCAACTACAAATGATTTTTTATTTAAAAAATTACGTTACTTTATTTACTTTATTTTTGTAATTTGTGCAAAATGTAAGCTAAACTTTATGTTTTACAACTTGCGTTGTTAAAAAAAAAGTTTAGCTTACATTTTGCACAAATTTTTGATGCAGTTGTTTATTTACAATTTAATTTTGAGTAAAAAATGTTTAGGAAGGACAACAGAAAAAATAATATAAATGAGCTAATTTTTTTTTAAGAACAAATGAAATTTAAATATTGAACAATATTTAGTAATATTTTAAAATAAATTTGACAGTTAAACCCAAGTATTAACTTTAATTTTAATAAACTTATATATAATTTTTGAATCAAAATTAAATTATATATTTTTTAAATTATTTTTTTTTTTATCAGAATAAAATTATATATTTTATTAAAATAGTTTTAAATTCTTATATTTTTAATCAGAATTAAATCATATTATCTTTGCTTCAAGCCTATGCTTCAAAATTATATTATCTTTGCTACAAGATTTTTTAGCTTTTCAAACCAAAAAACTAATCATTACTATAAAATAAAAACAAATTAAAAATAAATTTTTAATTTTATTTGAGTTTTTTCATTAGTAAATAGCGCTTATATATAACATAAATGTCATTCAAACTTTTGTAACAAATATATTTACATAAGTGTCATTCAAAAGTTAATGTGATTTTTTCAAAATTAATTACTTCTTTTATCTTACGGCTTATAGAATAATTTAAAAGTTAAAAATTATAAAAAGTCGCGTAACCAAAATCGCTTACTGCTTACATTAAGTCGCTTAAGGCATACATTGCTCTATATGTAACGCTTTAAAACAAGGCCTGAATTATGTTATAACAAAAATCTTTTTTTTTTAATTTAATAAAAAATATCTTGCAAAAAATTATACTGAAAAAAAAATGCTATCACATATATTGGTTGTTCTATTATAACAATAAATCATTAACTAAAAAGATGTTTAAATGTTTTGATATTATGAAGCTTATTTGATCTTATTGTGGTTCTTTTAAGTTTTTTAAACAATTTTTTTAATGTTTTATTTTAAAGCAATCAGTTGATAGCATTACTCCACAGTCGTTATACAAATTGGCAGCATCATTATTGCGAAACAATCTTTTAGAAATGAGTGATATTTACCCTCATGTAAGTTATTGAATAATTTGAATAAACAAAATAAAATATATCATTATTTAAATGTCTATATTGTTTTAGCTTCATCCAACAGATAGTGAAATACACAGTTTAAGCGAAAAAATTACTGCTAAGGCAAAAGAAGATGCAAAAAAAATGAATGCAATTATTTTATCTGTAAGTTTATACTGTTAAATAACTGTAAGTAAATACTGTTAAATAATTAGTTTACTTACAGTATTGTAAATAAAGTATAGTATTGTATTGATGATTAAGTCATATTATAAAAAAAATCCTCAATTACCAAAACAAATTGTGTACATATCTTAAATCTTAAACAACTTACTTCTAATGGTTGTTTGATAAATACACACATTTAGTTTAAATTATACTGTTTTTTTTTTACAAGTTAAAAAAAAAATAAGTTTTGATATAATCACATGCTAGTTAATAATATTAAAAAAAAAAAGTGTTAAACTCTTTTTGAAATTATTTTATGCTTTGTTTAAACAACATTTTAAAACTTTTTTTGATGTTAATTTTTTTTTTTAATGATTAACATTACTCATAAAAAATACATAATTATATATAAATTAAAAAAATTTATTTAATATTCATTAATACTTTTAAGAAAAAATACTTTTCAATAATAAACTAGAACTAGTAAAGATCAAAGCTATTTAATTATAAAAGTTTTCTCAAACATTTTTCACTTTTTTTCCACAAAATTTTTTATCTTTTTTTGTTAACTTAAATGGTTTTTGTACAAATTTCATTTAAGAGGCTCTTAATGAAGCATTAATAGAGATAAAAGTTTTGATGTTATGTATTTGTATGTATAATTCTAACACATAGATATAATAGACAGTGGTGTGAAAAATATTAAGACCGCCGAGAAAAAAGGCTTTTTTATTAGTTGATACCACTTTTTAGATTCTAAAAAAGTGGCAGCACTGCTTTATTTTATCATCAACATCCTGTGGGTGTGGCTGAGTATTGAAATTATTGATTTGAATTGGAATTTGTTAACTTTTATTGTAGAATTATGTGTTTTAGTGAACATTTAGTTGTGAAATGTAAGTTGCAGACAAGCGCCTTTTTCACTAAGTCTGATATGATAAATGATTTTTGAAGAATTCAGTTACCTGTGACAACAGTGAGAAGACAATTGATGAAAGCAACGTTTTGTGGCAGAATAGTTGCAAGGAAGCTATTCCTTCAGCTCCAAAATAAGAAAAAAGTCTCTCTCTTTTCATATATATATATATATATATATATATATATATATATATATATATATATATATATATATATATATATATTATGTAAATATATATATATGTGTATATATATATAAATATATGTATATATATATATATATATATATATATATATATATATATATATATACACACTCATACATACATATTTTAGGAAAATGTTGATTCAGAAGATAAGTCTGATAAAAATGATGATGATCTGATTGTAAGCTTTTATTTTGTCATAAGTTTTTATTTAAACGTTTTTAGAGAGAATAAACTCTTGTTTTATTATTATTCAATATTTTTTATATTTAGTTAAAAGACAACCAAAAATTTGGGCTATGCCAAGCTTTATTGGAAATAGGAGCATGGAACCAAGCTTTAAAGATCATAAACCAACTTCCAAATAGCTTACTAATGAGTAAATGCAAAATTGCAAGTTCTTTATGCCATCTAATTCATTGCACTATTGAACCTTTGTACAGAAGGTCTGTTGTATTAGATTGTGCATGTTTCTTAATGTTTAAAAGCATGTTTACTCACACATTAATAATTAGTGCTCTACCACTATTAATTTTGCAATAATAAAACAAAAAGCAAAAAATGTTTATTCATTGTTATGTTTTTGTTTTAAGATAATTATTTTCAAATAAACTTGATAAGTTCTAATGACCAATGTATAAATTTCATTAAAAACATCTCAAAAAAAAACTGTAAAAAAAAAAAAAACAATAACTAAAAAGAACTAATTAAATAATAAAGAAATAAAGAGCTTTACTAGTTTTTAAAAAGTTATTTAAATTTTATATTTTTATTTGAAAACTTTTTAAAAATAAAATAAATTTTTTAATTCACAATATTTTTATAGTTGCGTTTTTAACTTTATCTAAAATACGACTTAGTTGAAAATATAAGATGCATGCTTATTTAAAACACAAAAACAGTTTTAAAAGTACCAAACTTATTCAATCAAGTTTAAATTACAAAAGTCTTTTCTTTTAATTACTTACATTGTCGCTTGGAGCTATTTCTGTGTGAAAAAAATTGTTTCACAAAGAAGAGTAACGAAGAAACCTTTTAAGTATGAAAATATGAAGAAATGCAACACAAAATAATATTTATAATATAATTAATAATTTCAAAACATTACAGTGCAAAACTTAAAAAAACTATTAACAAAATTTAATCAATTTTATTTTATCTATGAGCTTTTTTATCTAAGTATCAAAAAATTTTGGCAAAATGTTTGTCGCATGTCATATTTATTTTAAACGGGCGATTCACCGCTTACACACTCATTTATTCCTGCCAAAGCCTGCATACATACATATATACATATATATACAAGGTGCAGCCATATATATATGTATGTATATATATATATATATATATATATATATATATATATATATATATATATATATATATATATATATATATATATATAAACAATTTAAAATGTATTCTACAAAAAGAGTGCTCAATGTTCTTAAAAGAACAGAGCAATTACAAATTAGTAGAAAATCACTTAGCAAAATAATATTTAAAAAAAAAAAAAAATTTTTTTGACAAGTGATTTTCTACTAATTTATATATATATATATATATATATATATATATATATATATATATATATATATATATATATATATATATATATATATATATATATATATATATATATATATATATATATATATATATATATAAATTTATTGATGTTGTTTTATTGTACCAGGTTATGATACAAAGTCTCTTGTTTGTTTGAGAGTGATCAATATTAAGTAAATTGTTTACAAAATAGATCACTATTAATATATAAAGAGTTTAATTATTTGAAAAAATACAACTTTGTGATGGAACTTGTGATGGAACATGCCCTTCGGCAATCATCAGCCATATTGTATACAATATTGAATACAATATGGCTGATGAATGCCGAATGGCATGAAACTTTAAGTTCCATCACAAAGTTGTATTTTTTCAAATAATCAAACTCTTTATATATATATATATATATATATATATATATATATATATATATATATATATATATATATATATATATATATATATATATATATATATATATATATATATATATATATATATATATATATATATATATATATATATATATATATATATATATATATATATATATATATATATATATGTATATATATATATATATATATATATATATATATATAAAATACTAGTAAAAAATTAATCTTATATCTCCAACTTGAAGGTCTCTATTTTAAGAACAATAAGCATTTTGTTTACTGAATACATTAACACAATTGACATCATCCTATAATTACATGTTGGGTTCCCCTTTTTAAATATCATTTTAAATTATTAAATCATAAAATATAATTCAACAAAAGTTTTCCATAACTTGTTTATGCTTCGATTTATTATTAAACTTTAAAAAAATGTGGTAAACTAGCAATGCTACAATTATAACTCTTTAGTTATTGAATTAATCATTATTTAATTTATAATGTTATTTTAAATTAAAAACAGTTATATACTGATGAATACATTATTTTTATATAAAGGAAGTAGCTTAAGTTAAAAAGTGTAGAAAAAGTATAACAAAAAAGCAACTGTAATACAGATTGGTTGAAATGTTTAAAATTGACACATCAAAAAGTATAACAAAAAAGCAACTGTAATACAGATTGGTTGAAATGTTTAAAATTGACACATCAAATTTATGCATAGTTTTAATTTTGCAGCTTTCATCAGAACTTAAAAACAACAAAAAAAACAACACTAAAATGCAAAAAAGGATAGTTTTTTTGTCAATTTATTTTTTGTTCACAAGCCACAATAATAAACTCATATTATTTTATTTTTAGTAAATTTAGCCCAAAAGGTGCCGTTGGAAATGTCTATAGAACCAAACGAGGTTTCCCTCAGCCATGTTTACAATACAGCCAGTTGTGTGATTATGTTTTTCCAATGTTATTTACTATTGGTGTCCAGTTATCTATTGATCCGATACTAGTTGTGAAGATTATCAGAGTTGCTAAAGGATTTATGAAAGAGGTTTTCTTGTGATTTAATTTCAAAGGTCTGTCAAGTGAGGTCAATTGTGTGAACCATTCATTTTAAGAAGGAATTAGTATATTTAAAAACTACATCATTATCCATTGGAATAGGGAGAGAAACAATGTACTATAGTTCAATAAAATAACACTGCTATTTTTTAAAATATTATCTTTTTTATAGTACAATCAGTTAACTGAAGCGCTGAAAGAAAAACAGGTTACTGAAATAAATATTTGAATATTTATGTATTTGAATAAATATGTATTATTTAGTTATATTTTAGTGTTTTTTAAAACTATAATTCTTTATAATCATCATTTTCAATGTGAATTATGTGTTAAGTGTTCACTTAGAAATGTGTTATGTGTTAATTCAAAAATGTGTTATATGTTCGTTTAGAAATGTGTTATGGGAGGCATTTTAACTTTGATAGATGAAGTTCTTTTTCCTGTGATATCTGTGCTTGATTGCAACTGTGCAGTAGCTGAGGAATTGTGGGGTCTTATCAAAAGATTGCCTTATCAGCTAAGGTTTGTTTTTACTAAAATATTTAATTTAATCTTGATATTATAATGGTTCATACTTTTAAGGAATACATGTAAATAATGGCTATCATTGATAGTATTATTGATTTTCATTTTAACATAATTGATATTAAAGTTATTGATTTAAATGTTTGAAAATTCAATCAACTTAAATTTCAATTTATAAAATTTAAATTTTTATAAGAAATTTTTATAATAAAATCCTAATACTGGGTAATTCCACATCAAATTATCTAAAATTTTTAAAGCATTGAACTATGGATCTTTATGTTTTTGTCTCTGGATATTGCTTGTTACAAAAATGTTCACACAAAATTTTTGGCTCAAATTGTTGATTGTTTTAATATTGCAAGTTTAACATTGACCTAATTTCAAATAAATAAAATTAAAAACAAATTTTTAAAACCCAATGCTTTTATATGTTATTAAAACACAAATTTTGCAATCAATTTTCTCTGATATTACTGTTTTATTTTATTAACATACGGCTGTATGCGTGTGTAAAAAAACAAAAAGGTCAGGAAGATGCTGGTCTCCAAACACAGGCATTCTGTTTACAAAGTCCACGCCTTATCCAAATATGCTAAACGCGCGTATAAGTATGAAAACAATCAATATACTTATTTTAAAAATTATTACTCTTTTTTCCATATAAAAAATAAACTTAATTAAAATTAACTAAATTAATTGACTTATTACCAAACTAATTATTGAATATTGTATTGTCATCAAGCAAGAGTATGTATGCAGAATTTGAAGAAAATCTTTCATCAAGAAGTGACTCAAAAATTGATTGCAAGATTTAATGCTCACAGGCAAACTAACAGACAAACAAATTAATGAGTTACTAAAAGTTAAATAAAGGTTTTTTTAGCGTATAATCAGTTCAAACTTTAAGTTTGAACTGATTATACTGAAACTAAATACTCCCATTAGAAACCATATATGAAATTTGTAATGAGAAAAGCAAAAGTGTTTGTTTAAATAAAAAGACCAGAATTGTGTCATAAAAAGCAACAAAAAATGTACAAGTTGCAAGTACTATACCTAGTACTTGCAGCTTGTACATAGATCTTGAGGATAACGTGGAGCAAGTGTTAATTAAGCAATCTTCAAGCTTAACAAGCAACATGCATTTCAATATTTATTTCAATAACATTCATTTCAATATTTCCTTTGATAATTTTTGCAATTCTTATTTCTTATTTTATTAAGAAATAAGAATTGCAAAAATCAAATATTTATTTTAATAACTAGTTCATTCTTAAAATTGCAACATTTCAGAAACTGCTCAAAGTTTTAGTTTTTTTTATAAATAATAAAAGAGTAAAAAAAAAGCAAAAAGAAAGACACATGGTTCAGTTTTAATACCTATATAATAAAAGAGATAGTATATAAAAACATCCATTTCACTGATAATCCTGATGCTGTTATGATGGTGCTGTAAAGATGTATATATTACGATATAGTTTATAAAGAAACTTTTTAGTAAAATTTTGCAATACTGTAAAATGGAGCCATACTGTCATAATATAGTTTATATAAATATACTGTTGCTATATATTTTATAAAGAAATGCTTTAGTAAAAATTGTTAACTTAAAACTTTGTACTTTTTGTGGCATTTAAATTGAATCATTTGTCACTTTATGTAAACACTCATTTCTTTAGCTATGTATATTTCTAAGGTTTCTCTTCACTTTTAAAAATAAATAAAATTTATATATGTAAATAGATGCTAAAAACAGGTGTTCCTAAAATTACTGATTTTGTATAAGAATCATTTTAATCATGTTAAAACTTGTTATTTTTAATGTATGCTGTTAACCCTTTCACTCCCAGAAAACTTTTTATTTTTAATGTATGCTGTTAACCCTTTCACTTCCAGAAAAGAATAAATCGATTGGAAAATGTTATCATCGATTTAAAAGCTATAAAATAAAAACTAATTGAAAATTAGTTTTTATTTTAAAAAAATGGCTGCAAAACTTTTTTTTAACTCTAGTTTATCTTAGCCTAGGTTATATGATCAAATGCCATTTTTGGCATGGTCACATTTACTAACTAATGACTGGGGTTGAAAGGATTAAATATGTAGGCTTACATGTTATTGTTTTTTTGTTTGTTTTTTCAAAACAAAAATAAAAAATCATGTTTCAATAGATAATAGATAATTTTAAGAAAACATTTGAATTTGTAGATATCGACTTTATGCATTATGGAAAAACCAGACATATTCTGTTCATCCAAAGCTCATACTGGCTAAAGCGAAAATCATTAAACGAGCAAAATATATTACAAAGTTAGTTTTATTACTTTTTAAATTTTAAAAAACTTTAAGTGAGATTTTTGATATAGTAGCAGAAGTTATTTACAACAACAGGCGCTTATCTAAAGAAAATGTGAAGCCATCTGGACGTCAAATTGGAAAATTGAGCCATAGCAACCCTGGAGTACTTTTTGACCATGTAAATTAAAGTTTTTTTTTCTCTTAATTTTTTTTACATTAGTTTTTATATTTTTGAATTTTTTCTTATTATTTTTCATAGTTTTTATATTAATTTATGAAATGTATATTACTTTAGTTGCTAGACCAGATTCAAAGGTATGATAACTTTATTGGGCCAATGGTTGATGCACTTAAATATCTTAACCCTCTTGCATATGATGTGCTAGCATGTATCTTTTTATAGTAAATTTTCTTCAATATATAAATTACTTGTTTACTCGTAACCATTACTTGTTTACTTGTACTGATTTTTATTGTGGTGTAATTTTGTATTGTTATTTTTATTTATTTTTTTTTTTTACTTGTAATTTTATAACATCACATTTTAATTAAAAATAGAATTTTGCATTAACAGTTTGTTGACACTAAAAGTTTTATCTTGACTATAAATACAGTTTGTATTATTGAAGCATTAGCAAATCCTGATAAACAACGAATGAAGCAGTCTGATACTAATCTTTCTTACTGGATGCAAAGTAAGTTATTTAATTAAGAGTATGATTTCGTTCTCAAAGAAATATCAGCCAATTTGAAAAACATTGTATTCCATGAAATTTCTCACTTAGGTTTATCACAATTTTGTGGTGCTGTATTTAAAAAATATCCCACAGAAATTACTGGTTTGCTTCAATACATTGCTAACCAACTTAAAGATGAGAATAGGTATTTTTAACTGTTTTATTTTAAATATTTCAACTATTCTCAATTTTATTTTTTAGACTTACAAATAGTTTAATAAAATAATAATTATGGCATATTTTTTTATAAAATAAATATAACAAAGAAATGAAAAAAAATAAAAAATAGAATATAATTTTAGTCTATCTACTTATAAATTAGCTTAACTTTTGTTAACTCTACTTATGAAATATTTGATTGCCAGCTCACTGCCTTGTAGTTTAAGCACTTTGGGATGATATATCCTTTAAGTTTAAAAAAAAAAATTATTGTTAAATATTGGTCCTGAACATCCATATTAGGGATATAAAATAAAAAATAATTTAAAGATTTTAAAATTAGGATATCAGCTAGTGATGAGCTTTTATATTTCGAAAAAAATGATAATAGTTTCAAGGTGCATCCATTTGAAAAACTCATGCATCAAATGAGTTATAGTTTATAAGATTGCAAAACAAAGTGATATCAGTGACATTAGGTTTTTTTACCGTTTGTTCTACCAAGTATCATATATTCATGTTATTTAATGTAGCTGTAATGACTTTGTAAATGTTTTCAAAAAACATTGTTTTTTTTTTTGAAACACCTAATCAAATTTTTTTTTTATTATTTGCATTCACTCCCAACAAGGCTGCAAGCAACCACTATTAAGTTGGGAGTTACTAGGAAAAAAAAGAACAGAGTTATAGAGCAAGGAAACGGTTGACAGAAGACTTGAAAAGTTGAAGGTTGTATGAGTCAGGAAAACATGAAAATGGGAGAGAGTTCCAAAGGATTGAAGTGCGGGGTAAAAAACTAGATGAATAAAAGTTTTTAGAGCATGCAGAGACAGATACAGTAAACAAATGAGACTTAACTGAATGACGAGTAGAATTAGAATGAATTTTAGTTGATGGAACTAGAGATGATAACTCCTTTGAGCAGTGACCATGATAGTATTCGTAGAAAAGAGAAAGAGATGCAACTTTACGACGATGGGAAAGAGGCTCAAGCTTAGCAGATAGTCCAGGTCCAACAACATTTACAATGCGTTTTTGGACCTTGTCAAGAAGAGAAAGTGAATTGTTAGAAGAACCAGCCCAAATATGACAACAGTATTCCATACAGGGACGAATAAGAGGTTTGTAGAGGTAGAGAATGGAATCAGAAGTAAGGAAATGGAAAGCACGATAAAGAGAAGCAACCTTAGCAGAAGCTAATTTAGCAATCGATTGTATATATGGTTTCCATGAAAGGTCAGTAGTTAGCGATAATCCAAGAAGACATAAAGAGGAGGACTCAGTAAGAGGATTGCCATTCATTAATATAGGAATGTTGGCTATATTATAGTAGTTGTTTGCAGTAAACAACTGGGTCTTGTTAGAGTTGAAATAATAAATTTTATAAAATATGACAAGTTCAGTTAGTGTACAATATTCAAATATTCAAAATATCAAATAAATTTTATAAGATATTACAAGTTCAGTTAATAAATAACAAAATTCAAAATATCAAATAAAATTTAATTGCAACCAAAAAAAGCAAGAGACATGGAAAAAGAATTTGATTCACTTGAGGAAAAAGATTCTGTAAGAATGAATCTCAAGAACTACTACGGAACAATATGTACTGGCAGATAATAAACCGATATACTAGCTTGACATCAGACTTTAAAAATGTGAAAGAATGAATAAAGAAAAGTATTTTATATTAATGATTAAATAATATAGTTTTTTTAATATTAATGATTTTTTTTAGAGCTATAAGGTAATTAGAATTTTCAGATAATAGGCAAAAGATTAGGGCCAAGGATAATAGAAAAATTGATTAAAAAGAGAGAAATAGAAATCAAAACCAAGTATTAATAGTTTTAATGGTTTATTAGATATATCTTCTTTACCATCAGAATCCCCCTATCATCGTACATCTTACAACTACCTTAAAGCTGACCGAGACTCTTTCCGTGATTTTCTTCGTGATGGCCTCTGGGTAGAAATTTTTCATCTTCCTGTTGGCAAATGTGCTTCTTACATAACTTCGTGGATTCAGGCTGGCATGGAATCCTTTATTCCCTCTCGACGATTCCAGATCAAGCCTCACTCTTCTCCATGATTTTCCTCACATTGTGCTGCTGCAATTGCCAATCGAAACCATTACTTCCATATCTATCAGCAAAACAATTCTCCAGAAAACAAACGTCTGTTTATTACTGCTAGGAACCATTGTAAAAAGGTTTTGTCTATCACCAAAGCCCGCTATTCTCAGATCATGAAATCTTGTATTTCATCACAAAAATTAGGCTCTCGTGACTTCTGGAGAATCTTTAATAGTATCAATAATAAGGGCAAGTCTGTAATTCCACCTCTTTTGTATGGTTCAGACTTTGTCACCTCACTTAAAGACAAAGCTAAATTGTTTGCCAAAAATTTTTCATCAATATCATCTCTTGATTCCACTAGTTGCGTTCTACCTGATATAGCTGTCAAACAGGTTGATCCATTGCTTGACATCCGTATCACTCCAGCTTCTGTATCTAAAGTGATTTCCTGTTTAGACTCTTCTACAGCTTGCGGCCCGTATAACATACCCGTTATAGTCTTGCAGAAGTGTTCTCCGGAGCTGTTGTCTATCCTATCAAAACTATTCAACAAGTGCTTATCAGAGTCTTATTTTCCAGCCTGCTGGAAAACAGCATCTGTTATCCCTATTTTTAAAAATTCTGGAGAGCGATCCGATTTGTCTAACTACTGTCCCATTAGTCTTCTTCCTATCATAAGCAAGGTTTTTGAATCTTTAGTTAACAAACACTTAATCTCGAATCTCATAACCTACTTTCTGATCATCAATATGGATTTCGATCCTCTCGTTCTATGGCTGAATTGCTATCAGTAATAGCTGATAGGTTTTATCGCGCATTAAATAAAGGTGGAGAGGTTAAGGCCATTGCTTTTGACATTTCTAAAGCGTTTGATAAAGTTTGGCATGCTGGTCTTCTCCATAAGCTTTCTTCTTACATTGTATCTGGAAACACCTTTAAGATTATTGAATCGTTCCTTTCCAATCGTAGTATAAAAGTTGTCCTCAACGGACAGCACTCTTCTTCTTATTCTGTAACCTCAGGGGTTCCTCAAGGTTCAATCCTTGGCCCTATACTTTTTTTAATTTACATTAACGATCTTCCAGATTTTCTCACATCTAAGGTGGCATTGTTCGCTGATGATACTACCATTTATTCTTGTCACGATAAGAAGCCAACTCCTGCTGATTGCTTGCAGGGTGCATCTGAGCTTGAAAAGGATCTCACTTTTGCTACAGCATGGGGCTCACAGTGGCTGGTGAACTTTAATTCAGATAAAACTCAGTTTTTTTCAGCCAATCGTTATCGCAATAATTTAGACCTTCCTATATTTATGAACGGTAATGTACTCGATGAGTCTCCTACCCTTCATCTTCTAGGATTAACTCTTACTTCTGATCTTTCTTGGAAACCTTATATCAAATCCGTTGCAAAATTAGCATCTGCTAAAGTTGCTTCTCTTTATAGAGCTCAACACTTTCTTACTCTGGATTCTATTCTCTATCTCTACAAATGTCAAATCTGGTCTTGTATGGAATACTGTTGCCATATCCGGGGCGGATCCTCTAATGATGCCCTTTCTCTTTTAGATAAGGTGCAAAAACGCATTTTAAACATAGTTGGACCTGCTCTTGCAGCCAACCTTCAACTTCTGTCACATCTTCATAATGTTGCTTCTCTTTCACTTTTCTACAAATACTATAATGGGCACTGCTCTAAAGAGCTAGCGTCTCTTGTGCTATCTACTAAAATTCGTTCTCGTGTTACTTGTCATTCAGTTAAGTCTCATCCTTTTTCTGTTACTGTTCCTAAGTGCTCCAAAAACTTATACTCGTCTAGTTTTTTTCCTCGAACATCAGTTCTTTGGAATTCGCTTCCTTCATCTTGCTTTCCTGATTCATATAATTTGCAATCTTTTAAATCGTCTGTCAATTGTTATCTTGTTCTACAATCTTCATCTTTTCTCTTCCAGTAACTTCCAACACTAATTAGTAGTTGCTTGCAGCCTTGTTGGAAGCGAAGATGTTTAAAAAAAAAAAAAAAATCAAAAGAAGATTGTAAGCAATAAGTTTAGATCCATATATGAATAAGAATGAAAAAAATAGCAATAAAGGTGACATTTGTGTATATTTGCGTGTATATTGCAAGTTAAAGGCAACAATTTTACTAAATTTTCAGATTTTAGAGGTCAAGCATGTTTAAATTACTGATATAAGATTCTACACATGTTATTTTTTTATTTTTTATTTTAAATATGTATTAAAAAATTAAAAAAAAAAAAATTTGTATGTTGCCTTAAATTAGGTTTTTAAACAATGTCGACTTTGCATGGTATCTAGCAGTGTATATATATATATATATATATATATATATATATATATATATATATATATATATATATATATATATATATATATATATATATATATATATATATATGTATGTATGTATACATATATATATATATATATATATATATATATATATATATATATATATATATATATATATATATATATATATATATATATATATATATATATGTATATATATATATATATATATATATATACAACCCTCAGAATTAGGGTCAGCATTTGGCAATGCCGACCTGCTGACATCTAAAAGGTTGAGGTCGGCAAATTATTGCCAACCTCATTTTTCCTAATTCCAAGGGTTGATATATTCGGAATAAGATTTTTTTAAAATTTTTTATAAAGATTTGAAAAGCTTTTTTTTCAATGTGAACTATATTTCTGTTATAATTTTAGTTTAGATTTGCTGGTACTAAAAGAAGTTGTTCAAAAGATGTCAGGTGTTGAAGCAAATGATGAAATAACACCTCAACAACTTGATGCCCTTTCTGGTGGGGAGCTTATGAAATCAGAGGTTTTTTTTATTTTTTTATTTTAATCAGAAGTTTAATGCTTTTTTCACTAATTTCAATGAGACCCAAGTTGTTTAATTGTGTTTAATAGAGTTATTTATTATAAAAAGATTTGTTTTGTTTAAACAAAATTAAATGTTCAAGTAAAAAAGTAAGTTTTAAGACTTTTGGCTCATTGTAGATGAGTTCAAATGCTGTTTGCAAAGGATGAAACAAATGCATTTTGTAAAGTTTTTTCAAAGTCCTTCAGCCTAGCAAACAGCGGAATAAAAAATATAAAATAGCATGCTAAAGGGAAGAAACATGTGGCAAGATATCCATCTGATAGTAGTAAAACAAATTTTTTAAAAAAGCTATTTGAAATAACTAATCTATGAGAACAGAAAGCAAGCAAAGTTGATTGATATGATCTCAATTTGGTCACTAGAAGTTTTAAAATGTAAATATTTGCAGCGTTCTTCAGAGTCAAAAAGTAAACTGTTCTGTTCCGTGTTTCCAGGCAGTAAAATTGCTCAAAAATTTCATGTGTGGAAAAATAAAACACAGTTACATTTTATGTCTTTAAATTTGGTAAATGAAAGCAGAAAAGAAAATCTACTTGATTCTTTAATTAATATTAGACATGTAGTCTCCATGACCTTCATTGTTCTATCCAAACTGGGGTAAAGGCAACTGACTGGAACGTTAGGAAATTATTTTTTTCTATGGATAAAGTATTTGATGAGTCTTCTTCCCCCAGAGCTGGCTATGAATGTCTAACAGCTGCTACCTTTTCAAACTATCTCCTAAAGTTCTGTGACCGATGAAAACCGATGGATTGATTATAGTAATGTTGCCAAGCGTGCCCAAATGTTTAGGCCTAAAAAAATTGAAGTTATATAGTTTTGGAAAGGCTAACCAAAATCAAAGCAACCTGGAAAGGGACAAAACACTAGTTCTGGTTGTATTGCTAAAGCTGTGGAAGATCCTACCATTCCATTGAAATTTAGATTTTTTTGAGGATATTGCAACATCTTTAAATGATTTCTTAATCATTTTTCAAAATGACAATCCAATGTCATTTCTCACCAAATACTTCACAATGTCCTTATTAAATAAGGCGGTCGCTTCTTGAAGAGAGATGTTTTAAAAAATGGCTAACTCTGTATATAAACTGCTCAAAGTTAACTTTACCGATAAAGTAAACAAAGTATTATTGGAGTCAGTTGATCTTGTCATAAAACATGTCAGTTGATCTTGGCTCTAAAACATGAGATCAAAGCTTTGAAGAAAAAGGGAAGTTGAGCCATAATTATTCATGCATATCATCAGCCAGGTGCTTGACAGTTCTTGTTTAGTATATTGAAAAATAATCTTGTTAATGTACTTCTTTCTAATGTTCTTCTTCTTCCTAAAGTTATGTTGGAACTGGCTGAGTTGTCAACAGCTTATTAGAAAAAATACTTTAAATTCTTGTTGGTTTAAAAAAATTGACTTCTGACACTGCAATAAAAACCAAACAACATTTTTGTCAAATTTTTCAACATTTTTGTCAAATGTTGTTAAGGGTAACACAGAACTATTTAGAGAATCAAAAGAATCTAAAGATTGATTGGACTCATTTCTTAAGAAGAACTGAAATGCAAAAGTTATTGGAACTTAAAGAACGAATTCATTAATCACAAATTAAGTTTTTCATTTTTTAAATTCATTTAATAAATTTCATCATTTCTTGATGGTAATATAATGTTAAAATATCCATTTCTGGTCTACAAATTTAGTAAACATCTATATCGGCATATGGTTGTAAAAAATTGCTTTAGTAAACCCATGTTGTTTAACATGAAAAATGACATTGAAACCTGTTCAAATCACGCAAGTGTGGAAAGCTAAAATAGTAAAAAAATAAGCTTCTAAAATCCTTTATTTTTTATTTAAAATTTTGTAGTTATGGGGAAAAAATTCTCTAAATTATATGTAAAATCTTCTATAAATGCATCTAATATCCTCTTTTTTTATGAAAATTTTATGTGGCCACCCTGTCTTAGTAACACCTGATAGCAACACAAAATTGGTGGGGCATATTTTATGGAGCTGAATAGGTTTTGTAAATTTTAGAAAAAGTAGTTTATTTTTCAATTTTAAGTAAAAAAAATAAAGTTAGGTAAAAAAAAAAAAAAAATTAAATATTTTGAATATTTATTGGTTATTACAACAATATATTAATTCCATTAATAGTTTGCAAAACTACCTTTATTTGCAATAAAGCAAATTTGCCTAAAAAAACTGCATCAATGCATCGTGGCATGCTTGCAATTGATTTTTTTGTTGTTTCTGTCAACTCTGCATTTCTGTCAACTCTGTGTCTCGATAATCTTACCATAAAATCTTGAGTTGCCACGCCAATACATTGTTATTATTCTGTTTTAAATAAGGTTTATAACACTTTTTGCTGTGTGGTAAGTTACATCATCTTGCATAAATATAAAATTGTTGACATTTTTTGATCAATCTGTTATTTGGGGTAGCAACTTTTTTTCAGAATTTATTTATACTTTTCCTGTCTTATTGTCCCAACCACTTTATATAATGATCCTGCTCCTTGATTACAAATGACACCCCAGGTCATTACTGAGGGAGAATGTTTTCACAGTGCAACTAGGATGAAACTTTTTGTTTAGTCTATGATGGACAAAAGCTGTTTGGTCCATCATTTCTTGAAGGTTGACTAGTCTGAGAAGCAAATCCAAAACAATACTTACTTTAAGTGACTAGTACATATTTTTAAATAAATTATGAATAAAAACTTGTACAAATTGTAAAAATGGTTTCACTAGTTTTTGTTAGAGTATTATCACATTTCTTTCCCAAGCGCAAATGATTTTTTTTTGACAACTTGACCATAACTGTTTAGGTGTTTTCATGATTTAAACATTTCAGAAATGTGCTGAAAAAGAAACGCTAAGCTAATCTTAAACTAGGAAGAAAACTAATGAAAACAAACAGTTCCTTACAAAAAACTCAAATTCGAAGCGAAAATTACTTTATGCTATTAATTATGTTTGAAATAAAATACTTTAAAAGTTATCTTTCCAAATATTTTGTTAAAGTTATGCAAAACTCTTTTACAATTTGCTTCTAATAATTGTTTAACCCTTTGGCTGCTTGATAAAATTAAAAGATGTTTAGAAAAATTCAACTAAAAAAAACGAAAATGGAAGAAAAAAAGACAATTTTGATATTTGTATTTCGTTTTTCATTTTATAACATCTAGATTTATAAACAAAAAATTTAAGCCCTCATTGTATAAATAATAAATGATATTTATAAAAGCGATAATTTTTTGTAATAAAGTTCATAATTTTAAAGATCTGTTTTGAAAGCCACAATCATGGCTTGCCGCAGTCAAAGGGTTAATAAATGAACTATTTTATTTCAGTTATTTAAAAAAGTTAAGTAGAATATTTTAAAATTGTATAAACATTTTTTTTCCCAAAAAAGTAAACATATATATATATATATATATATATATATATATATATATATATATATATATATATATATATAGTTGTAAGTAAAGCATATTCCATATGCTTTACTTACAACTCTCTTTATATAAAAGTTATTTAAATAGACTATTTTTCATACACCTCATCCTTTTTATTATTATTACGCAAAAGAATCTTACCAAAGATTTCAATTAGTTTTAACTTTGTAAAAATTTTGATAATTATTTTAACAGGGTGCATATTTCAGTCAAATTCGAAATACTCGAAAGCCATCTTTGCGTTTACGTGATGCCTTAATGGAAGGAAAGTTGACTATACCACTTTGTATTCTGATTGCACAACAAAGGAATGCTGTTGTTTATGTAGAAGAACAGCAACGTCACCTTAAATTAATCGGAAAACTATATGATCAGGTTTCCTTTAGAATTTTTTATTTAATAATATAGCATTATTTTTTTGATTTTGTTTTTATTTTCAATATTTTGTTGAGTTTAGTAGAGTTAATTTCTTTAGTGTCAAGACAATCTGATTCAATTTGGCGGTTTTCTCACAATCCAGTTAAGCACTCATGACTACCAGGCTAGCCTGCCATCTTTAGATGAGTTTCATGAAACATATGGTTTAACTCCAGATGTTTCATTTTTCTTAACAAGACCTGTCTATAAGTTTGAAATACAGGTATTAATATAGTAATATAGTACAGTAATCAAATAAGTAATAATATAGTAATATAGTAATAGTACAGTAATTAAATTGCAGAAATATAGATATTTAGACATTTATATAATTACATACTGATATTTACAAAAAATATCAGTATAAAAAATGCAATTTTGTATTAATATTTCAGGAAAAGATGGAGATTTTAAAGCAGTCCATAAGTCAACGCAATGATTTGACATCTCAGAAATTAAAGGTTGGTTATTGTTTAAATTAATTACAAAAAAATTCTTCAGTATTAAAAGTTTATAGGTACTATTACAAATTTACTAATATACTTGTTCTATAAGTTACTTACATATTTAATAATCATTCAAATGGCTGACACCTGGAATAAAACAAAAAAAAAAAGAACAATAAACAAATACCTTTTTGTTTTAAAGTTACTGGTAAAATTTAAATTTTTTAAGTTGGTTTTAAGTTGGTCAGAAGTTGCTGGTCTATAAAAATTATTCTTTGATTTTAATGTTCTTACATTTTTCTAATTTATATTATCTGTGCAATTTTTGCAATCAGCCAACTCAGAGTCAACCTTTCAGTAAGTTTTATGTTTAGGTCTAGGAATCCAGAGGTCTAGGAATTTTTTGTTTCTATTATTGTTTTTAAAAGTTGCAGTTATAGGCACTTAAATCTAACATGACAAAAATTGAAGTAAGAAACTGTGTTGTATGTTTTGAAAAAAGCATATTTTATTTAGGTGTGACAGATGGTTGAAACTTAATTTGTGTGTGTTGGTTTATTTTCTATAAAATTTAATCAATGGATTATTATTTTGATTTTGTATAAACTTTAATTAATGCATTATTATTTTAATTTTGTATAAACTTTAATTAATGTGTTATTATTTTTATTTTAGGCATTTTAATAACTTTTAGAAATTTGTTTTGAGAAATTTTTAGCATGAGAATAAAAATATAAAGATTAAAAAACAAAGATATTTTTACTTTGGAGATTGCAGGCCTTGTTTTAAATAAAAAATGCTTAACGCAATAGCCTAATGTGAATATTATGTCATTTTTTAAAGACATTAACTTTAACTAATTTTTTTTTTTTTTTTACCACAAAATGAGTTAAATGTTATTTAACTTCTTTTTAATTATTACTATAAAGGGAATGTTTATTTCTTTTATTATTTTTTTAATATTAAATAATTAAATTTAATATTACATTTTTAAAAATGTTTGATATTAACATTTTTAAAAATGTTTGATATTAACAATTAATTACTTTCTTTTCTCTACTTTTGCATTAAATAAATTAAAATATGTTAAATTTTAAAATATGTTAAATTTTACAGCTAGAAATGATTTTTTATTTAAAAATAATTAGAGAGTCACAAATAAAAAAATTAATTCAATTTATTTACTTTATTTATTAAAAGTTTATTATTTTATTAATGGTTTTGTTGTGAAAGCAAAGATTTTTTTCCAAATATCATTTATCAAAATTATATCGGTGTATATATTGTTTATTAAAAAATAATCTCTGTGATTTAGCTTGCATTGTAAAAAAAAAAAAAAACTTAGCTTACATTTTGTGCAAATTTTTGATGCAGTTGTTTTTTTACAATTTAATTTTGAGTAAAAAAAAGAATGTTTAGGTTGGAAAAAGAATGTTTAGGTTGGAAAAAGAATGTTTAGGTTGGAAAACCAAAAAAACAATTGCAATAAAAAGAGCTAATTTTTTATTAAGAGTAAATATTGAACAATATTTAGTAATATTTTTAAATAAATTTGACTGTTAAGTTAAACTCAAGCATTAACTTTAATTTTAATAAACTTAAATTATTTTTTAAATCTAAATTAAATTATATATATTTTTTTTATCAGAATAAAATAATATATTTTTATTAAGTTAGTTTTAAATTAAATCATATTTTTTATCAGAATTAAGTTATACTATTATGATCTTCAAGCTTAAAGCTATTAGCGTCTTTCAAGCGAAAAAATTAATCATTACAATAAAATCAATCATTACAATAAAATAATAACAAAATAAGAATAAATTTTAAATTTTATTTGAGTTTTTTTTCATTAGTAAATAGTGCTTATATCTAACAATTGTCAATCGAACTTTTGTAACAAATATTTTTACATAAACAACATTCAATAGTTGTGATTTTTTTAAAAATTAATTACTTCTTTTATCTTACCACTTATAGAATGTTTTAAAAGTTAACTCTTTCCCAATTTTGCCATTTAGCAACACAAAATTTAAATTCAAAAATCAAACCTTGTTTTATCTTTTTTTTTGATTTTAAGTAATACTTAAGTTTTACTACTTCCTACTAGATGGCAACATATTCAATTTAAAAACGAACTCACCAATTTACAATTGTTTTTTGAAAATAATGAATGTCATTGTAACATTTTTTTTTTAAATTTCATAAATTGGGAAAGAAAGGTTAAAAAATGATAAAAAGTCGCTTAACCAAAATCAGTTCTATAGTAAAACCAAATATTAACTTATATTTGATACAACTCTATAATCAAAATATAAACTCCATTGATTATTTTTAAACATTACAAGAATGATATAACATGTATAAAATGCATTTTGCTTTTCAAAAAAAAAAAAAAAACATTTTTATATGGCATGCGTTTTTTTTTTTTTTTTTTAATTTAATGTTGCAATGTTGTTTTGATTTTTATAAATATATCTACCATTTTTTATTTAGCAACAAGAATTAGAAAAATCTTTTTGTGAAACATGTGACAACATATTTCGACCTGTGGTTGCTTCTGCTTTGCCATTACAAACAAATAAAATTTGGGGAAATTTAAGGTGTTGTACCATATATTTTGTCATTGTTTTATTAATTTTAAAAATTTTCAATATTTTATTTCTTATTAAATTTTAAAGTTATTTTTTATTTTATTCATGTCTAGCCCTTTACTGTATGTTACTTTTTGGTCAATGACAATGTACGATTTAAATGCACCAAAAAGTCGCTATGATGATGAAATCAGCAAATTAGAAACAGCTATAACAGAAGTAGATGCTAGCAAAGAAATAGTGAGATTTTTGTTTTGCAATGATGAAAGTTGTTAACATATTAGCTATTTTTTTACTCTTTATAAAATATCTGTAGACTTCAAGTTCTAAAAGACGAAAAGAAAAAGAGCGATGTCAGCTTTTAATCGACAAATTAAAGGAAGAGTTTCAAACTCAACTTGAGCACAACAAACTTATTAGAATATGGCTCGAGTCAAAGAAAGATGCATGGTTTCCTTCAAGTAGGTTTTTGACTGTTGAGGTTTTTTACACAACTTCTGTATAAAGGTTTAAAGTTTATTTCTTTGGAAATTTTGCACTACTAGATAAGTGTTTAAAGGCTTGATTTAAATATAGATTTTTTTACAATAAGTTGTTAAATGTTAGATTCAAATTAATAGGTGTTCTAGTATTAGACGAATGTTTAAATGAAAAAAAATAATTTTGAAATGTTTTTTATATGATTTTAAATAAAAAAAAGTTTCAGTTCCGTAATTCTTCGTTTTAGTTTAGAAAAACAAAAAACTACTAAAAATAACATAAAAAATGTTTAAATTATTTCTATACTTTTTTAAAATTTTTGTACAAATTTGAAAGATTTTTTTTAAAAAAAATTGGAAAAAAGATTTATTACATATAAGAAATTTTAGCTAAAGAGCATGTTGCACACTGCTTTTTGAGTAAAGTAATGTGCTACAGAATATTTTAAAGAAACCATTACTTTCAATTTTTCAACAATGAATTTTCATAGATAACTTTTTTAAAATAAAAATATAAAGTTTTTGATCATTGTCTGAGTCCAAAACAATACCAGTTCTTTTATGTTACATTTATTAAGATTATATGTGGCATGGTTACTAATTACATAAAAGTTTGCTCTACTTATTAGTGATGTACTGATAGTATTTTTTTGGCCAATGCCGATGGATGGGAAAAGACTGATACCGATGCCGATACAGATGAATTAACTAATAATTCAAATTTTGAAAATAAAAAACCATACAACTTTAAATTGTGTAAATTTTTTTATGGAATCAGTACAGGTAAACAAATACTTTGACCCAAATCAGAGCCAAATCATTATTTTAAAAGATATTAAAAAAACTTAGTTTTAAAAAAAATATATTTTTTAGTTTATTTACCATGAAAAGAAAAATTTCAAAAAAATGAATACAACTAAATGCTTTTTATTTCAATTTTAAAAAGAAAATGGTATCATAAGCAGTTTACTTATAATTCTTTATTAATTTATTAGTAATTTAGATATCTAAACAACAATCATATGTTGTTTAGATATCTAAATTATTTTTAGATAATTAAGTTGTTTTAAAAGTAGTTTTATTTTGTGATGTTCGATATCCACCACGTCTGGTAGTACCGCGCTCAACTTGTTTCTCCATGCAGCAGCCTTGTTTGTCAAGATTTGTGTTTCAGAGTTATAAAGCTGAGAGAGGGTTGTAACCATAACTAAAGTAGCCTCCTTGACTGGAATAGCCTTCGTGACCTTAAAGAGGTGAATTAAAACAAAAAATAATAAGAAATTAAAATACAGAAATATAGTAGGCTATACTTGAACACATATAGATAACAATGCTTAAATAGGTTACTTTTAAGTATAACAATAGAACAACACACACACAAAAAAAAAATTATTTTAAAAACAATATGGTAATAAAAGTATAAGTACGTTCAGCTGTTAAATTAAAGGTTATAAACATCATCTTAAGAATAAACAATATTGCTTGTAAACAAATTCAAAATAAAAATTTATCAAAAAAAAAAATCTAAGTAATGCATAAAGTTTAGTTTATTTACTAATTTATTATTATCATAATGCTGGATAAAAGTATTTAAATGCCATCGGTTTGAAAAAATTAATAAATAAAGGCCAATATCGATTCGGATTGTGCAAAAAGTCGCTGATTAAGCTGATGCCGATTAATCAGAACATCACTATGACTTATCAATGTTTGTATTAATTTCATTATGGAGGAATATTTAATGATGCAAAATTTAAGATATCGCATTGAGTGGATTGTTGCATTCATGATTGTTTAAAAACACAATCATCAATAATTTGGTAAATTAATTTAACGAATAGTGTTAAAAACAAAATAAGGAATGTTGTTGCATTTTTTTTAAATTAAGGATGATGCAGATGAAATTTAATAATTATTAGTTATAAAAAGTTAACTTGATAATAAAGTGGTAATAAATGTAATTATCATAAATAATAAATAGATATATAAGTATATATTAATATATAGGTATATATTAATTTATGCATAGAGGACATCAACCAATGGGACATCAACTAATAGTTTTAGTTTAGAATCTGTCTCTATTCTAAAAACTTTTTATTGGTTCTCCAAAATGTAATAGCATACCATTTGGGCTCAAAAAAAAGAACTACTTAATGTAGCACAAGTGATTTTGGGATTGATATTTTGTCAAACAATTTGATAAACATGAAGAGCAAAGGTCCTATAAAGTACTTTTCTTTAGAATTTGTAGATCAGGTTCTAGATATAGCAATAGATTAACTCCAAGAAAATTTTTTTTTTATTGTTTCCTAAAATCTTGAAATATTGAAAAAATAATGACAGACTGAGTTGTTATTTGATTCTGTTAGTCCAGCAAATTATGATTTAAGTTACTAGAATTCCACAACATCACATATTACACGTTATTACACAAAAGAAACCTAACTAATTATAGCCCTGTTTTACCTTTGCAAAGGTAAAACAGGGCTATAATTGTAAAAAGTTGTTAAGGTAAAAAAAAGTAAACACTTTTTTTATATAAGAAACATCTTCGTTAGGACCATTATGCTGATATATGGCAAAAATTAAGAATATTTTCTGTTTTGTTTAGCAAATACAAATTTGTGTATATATTTGTGTTAAAAATGTAAAAAAGTTATATTTTAAACACAGCAAAAAACTATAAAATAGTTTTTTAAGGATTTTTTTAAATTTTGTAGTAAAACAATAAGCAGTAAATAATAAATTCTTGACTCAATTTGCCTTATATTATCAGCCTGTTCCCAACTTTCTAATATAAAAGTGTGTATAATTGAACTTAAATTAAAAAACAATCCTATAAGGGCCCTAAAATTAAAGAGAAATTTAAATTATACTCCCTCAGGTATTGAATATCTGTACTAATCTAGTTATGAAACTTTTATTTTTATTTGTTTATATTGGTGTAAAAAGCTGACACTCTTTAAATTTAAACAAATAAAAATATTTGAGTACATTATTATGAAGTTGAAATCAAAACGTTATATATACTATATATATATATATATATATATATATATATATATATATATATATATATATATATATATATATATATATATATATATATATATATATACATATATATATATATATATATACATATATATATATATATATATATATATATATATATATATATATATATATATATATATATATATATATATGTTCTTTTAATTTGCATTTTTGTGGTTTTTTTTAAAAAAAACATTAAATTTAATTAGTTTCCTTAATTAAATTAATGTGATTTGTTATATTCTAATCTAATATTCTAATTTTTTTCTTAAATAATAGGTTGCTTGCCCAAACCAAACCAAACCCTCAGTCAATGTAGCGGCACTCCGCTATATGATAGTCGATGTAGCAACACTCCGCGCATGTTTTAAAATTATATTTTAATATAACAAAAACACTATTAATTTAAAAAAAGTAGTCATTATTATTGTGGTTTTATAAGAATCAATAAAATTTAATGTACTTCCGCATTAATTTAATTGCTTTGACTTTTTGATGACTATAAAATGTAGCTTAATTGTTGAAGTCACGAAATTGTTGTCAAAAGAGACTTTTTTTTACCATGAAAGTCTCTATCGACTATGAGATAAGGATATATATATATATATATATATATATATATATATATATATATATATATATACACATACACATACATATACATATATATACAACCCTCAGAATTAGGGTTGGCACTTGGCAATGCCAACCTAACTGTTGACCTCAAAGTTTTTTATGAAAAAAACTATTGAAAATCAATCAAAATGAGGTTTGCAAATCATAAAAAACTCAAAGTTTTTTATGATTTGCAAACCTCATTTCTTCGTTTTTGTGTATTTACTTTTACTTATTCGCATAGTGAATAAGTAAAAGTAAATACATAAAACCTTTTTGTATTTATTCCAACAGTTAAACTATTTTTAAATACTTGATACCCATGACAATTAAGTCTTTGTTTTATAAATTTTTGTCTTGGTTTTATTTTAGAGATGACAAAGGGAGAAATGATCACTCAATTTTTACAACTCTGCATTTTTCCAAGATGTGTTTTTTCTGCTATTGACGCTTTATACTGTGCCAAATTTATACAAACTATTCATACGTTGCAAGCACCAAACTTTTCTACTCTCATATGTTTTGATAGGGTAAGAAGTTTTTTTAAGAATATATATATATATATATATATATATGTGTCTGTGTGTGTGTGTTTTAATTTCTATAAAACATTATTAAAATATTTTTAGACATGTTTTAGATACTCTTTGATTATTTTGACATAAATAAAAGTTTTTGTTTACATGTAAATAAAAGTTTTTGTTCAGGTGTAAATAAAAGTTAGGCTAAATTTAAATTTTTTATTTAATTAAACTTTTTTAGTCATTTGCTAATCTGTGATATTTTTGATTTAAAATGCCAGTTTTAAGAACATTAGGGTTTCTAAATACAGTTAAGCAGTAGCAGTTAAAACAGTAACAGAAACAACTGTTTGTTTTTTTGTTGAGAAAAATCAAAACCAGCAAACAGATGTTTCTTGAATAAGTGTTTTTATTGTTTTTTTATTTTATTAAAAATTATAAATTAATTCAACAAAAAAAATTTTCAGACGTTTATTGTAACAGTTAAGTTTTGTTTTAATATTGTAATGAGTTTAAGCTGTCATTCAAACTAAGATCTTTTTTGATTCAAATATTTTCAGATAAAAGGTGAAGATTTAAAAAAATCAAGAATTAGTATTAAAATTTTTTTTTAGTGCCTAATATGTTTATTAAAACAATTTTAATTGTAATTTGATTTGATTTTTTTTTTTTAATAACAATTTAGTAAATAATTTTAAGAGTAGTAGTAGGAAATTTCTTTTTTTAAGAATTTCATTTTACTAATCTTGAATATAAATATAAACTTATATATATAAATAGAAACTTAATACATATTACATAGCTAAATTTCACAGTTATGTTTATCATAAATATCAATTTTTTATAATAAAACTTATAAGTAATAATGCCTTTCTTAAAAAATTGCTTATGTTGTTACTATGGTGACTACCATAAACACAGTAATTTCAATTTTAATAGCAATACAGATCAAATTTAGGTTATGCACTCTAATCTTACTTTACTTGTTACTCAGTTGTTTTTATGAAGTGTTATGTAATTTACATCAACTTTATTATTTACAAAATTTTATTGTAGACATTTTCAGATGTTTCGTATATTGTTGCAAGTCTGACAGAAAATGAAGCAAGCCGTTATGGTATGAACTTTAAAGGAATTATTCTATATATAAAATAGTTGTTTTTTTTAATTAATAATAGTAATAATAACTAATGCTGTTAAATATAAACATAGGCATTAAATTTGTTTTCTTTCATATATCTAGCACAGTACCTGTTTCAATTGATTTTTTAAACACTAAATATAATAAATAGGACAATGGCATTCTGCATCCTTTTAAAACATGAGAATGTTCTAAATCACAACTGACTTATTTTAACTATATAAATACTTAATGTTTTGTTTACTTTAACTGTGTCAAGTAATGAATTTGAAGGTATATTATCTAATTCAATGCTTGTATCATCATTAACCTATGCAGAATGAAAATATTTATTTAGTTCAGTAGCTATAGTGAAATGATCATTTATAATTTTGCCATTTTCATTTTTGAGAGCTTGGGTTTAAATTTTTGCTGATTTCTTCTCATTGATATATTTATAAAGCAACTTAGGATATGATTTGAATTTGCTAGTTGCACTAATTTCCAATTGTTTTAAATTGTTCTTGATATTATTTTTTATTGCAGGTTTAAAGTTATTATATACAGTTTTTTGAAGAAAAAAAAAAAAAAAAAAGTAAATTGCGCATCTCAATATTGATGTAACATTATTTTATTTAAAACTTGTAGGTCGATTTCTATGTGCAATGTTAGAAATGGTATCTCGATGGCATCAAAATAAGCAACTTTATGAAGAGGTTTTTTATTATTTCTTTTTCAAAAAGACAAGATAAATTGTTGGAAATTATTATTATTATTATTTTTTTTTTTTTAAATCTTATTTTTAATGAAGCATGCATGTATATGTAACTTTAAATTGGTCGTTTAGCAAAGAAATCAATTTTTTTTAGGATTTTTATAGTTGACCTTCGGCTTGTTTTTTTTTTTTTTTTTTTTTTTTTTTTTTTTTTTTTTTTTTTTTTTTTTTTTAATTCACTCTAAAGTTAATTTAATTTTTTAATTTAAACAGAAATCACTATGTTTTTTTTTTAATTTAAACAAGATTACTGAATATATTATTTTAATAATTTACATGCATTAAGTTAATCTGGGAAGTATTTTTTTTTTTTGTTATTAGGAGTGTGCTAATGTCCCAGGATTTTTGACAGTACTTCGGTTAACAAATAATGAGAAAGCCTCCTACTTAGATTATGAAAATTTTCGTCATGTTTGTTACAAATGGCAGTATAAACTTACTAAGGTATTTTTTAAGTTATTTAAAAAAAGGTTTTTATATAATTATTAATTTTTTTTTAAATTATCTTCAAGAGGTTTTTATAAAAGTTCATTTTCTTTTCCCACAACATATCTCATGTTTAATATTACTTAAAACACTAAATAATGATATTAAATTTTTTCAATACTTATTTACTTGATAGGCTTTTTAGAGTACAACTATACATGGATAGAAAATAAATTTGTGCTTTTTAAAAACAAAAAATTGATGCCAAATATGTTGTCTATAGAAAAGCTGAACATTATTTCATCATTTGTTTTTGATTGGATGTTGAAGGCTAGCACTAAAAACAAATTTTTAAACTGTCTTACCAATACTTTCACAGGGTTACTTTCCATGGTTCAGGCCTTCTCGTAAGAGGCATGCGATCGGACGCTTTATATGGCCATGTATATAGTTCTTTGTTTTAACAACTTGACCACGGCTTTTTGCAAGTTTCAATAATTAGCGCGTTTAAAAAATGCGCTTAAAGAAAACAAAGCAAATGTAAATGCAATTTTTAATTTAATTGATTCCATAGTTACAATTAAACTGCCACAAAATTTCCTGAGTACTTTAATGCAACATAATAAAAGCAATCGTTGAAAAAAATATTCAGATTAAAGTTTAAGGCAAAATGAATACAGAAGCTATCAAAAAATAATTACAAACCTATTTATCATGGAACTATAACTTCTAATTAAGAAATTATTTACTAAAAAAAAAGAATTACAATAGTCTACAAATAGTCGCATTTGCCAACTATTTTTTATCCCAGGGCGTGACATACCATTTTTTTTAATGAATGTTGACTTGCGTATCTTTATTTATTGACGAACGTCTAATTTTAGAGATTTATGTCAAACAAATTTCAAATAATTTTTATTCTAGTTAATAAGTTATCAAATATATAAAAGATGCTTGGTAAATTTATTCAATTGTTATTTTCAAAAACTTTTTTTTTACACATTTGCAAAGCGCGCGCTAATTAATGATAAACATGTGAGCAAATTAATGATAAACGCACAATAAAAAAAACTTTTAAAAGTGTTTTTAATATGCAAACAAACATTATTTCAGTTTATGGAAAATAAGAAAATTAAAAAAAAAAGCATGCACAATTTTATTTATAATGAAATCATTTGCTTTAAACTTTTAATGTAATTGCTTAAAGCAGAAAAGAAACCAAGCTTAAACATTACGATTGCTTTCTTCAATAAAAGAAAGCAATCAAATTCTTTAAGGATGGTTTCTTTTGAAGTTTTTGCAAAAGCATCTATTTTAAGTAAAATTATCATACTTTTGTGAGCGCATGCAAAAACCATGCTAAAACATTTTACTTAAAAGTGATGCGATTGAAAAAAGTTTTGGCATTTTTAAAAAAAAGTCTCTGAAATTAATTGTTTTTCATTTTAAATATGTGTTTTTTGTAATAAATAAAAAACTATTGATCACAAAATTATTTTGAAAAAATTGCTGAAGTAACGCGTTTGTTTTGAAAAATCTTAATCAAACGGCAACGTTTGCATAAGCAAAATTAAAGGAATGTGATGTTTGTTTTTCTGTCTGTCTTTAAAAAATGCGCGCACATTTGTTGATTTGTTGCACCCTGTATCCTATTAACTTTTTAATGAAATTTTAAATTTGCACCATAAAATTTTATTAAATTTCATTACCCTTTCCCTCACTATGGATCCGCACTTGTATTAGCCTATTTATTCATGGGAAGGAATGATAAAGATGATAAGAGATGTGATTGATATTAATGATATCTGTGATTTTTTCACTTTTGCTTCCAATTAAGTTTAAATTAATTAATATGTGTTTTGATTTTTTTTCTGGTTTTTCCTTTATTTAATTTATCATTCTTTAAATATTTTACTTTTTTAGGTTAGTTTTTGTTATATATATTATTTTAAGGATTTTATTCTCTTTTCAGTCTATGGATTGTTTATTTTAATTTGCTTTGTTTTTTTTTAGCGCAATTTTTAAATGTGCTAATTATCAAAATTTGCAATGAGCCGTCGTCAAGTTGTTAAAATAAAGAACTATATGCGTGGTCATATAATACGTCCGATCGCACGCCTCTTACAAGAAGGCCTGATGGTTATACCATGGTAGCATTTACCTTGATATTTTAAGAATTATGGCATAAATTTAAAAAAAAAATTTGCAATTTGTGTAGTGGCCAGCACAACCATTTAAAAAAAAGTATATTTTTTTAGTGTTAGGAAGCATTTATTGTACAAATATGACAGTTCTTTTTATTATACAATAAATAAATTTGTGCTAAGTCATAAGATATAAAACAAAAACATATTGTTATTTTATCATTTGATAAAATACCAGCTGAACACAAAATCTCATTCATTTTAAATATGCATTTAAAATAAATGACAAATATTACTATTTTTGATGTGACAACTATAATTACAAAATACATAGCCTAATATAGGGTAAGTTTATTTTTGGTCATTATTATTAGTTGATCACTTAGATATATCACTATTTTAAGTTGATCACTTTAACTTAAACTTCATTTGAACAGAAAGGATTAAGAAATATCATAATGTAAAAACAGTTTTATATAGATGAGACCTTTCTCAATCAGTACATGTAAACAATATTTTTCTTTTATGAAATCTTTGTGGATCACTGTTGCATTACTGAAAAATAATTTTTCACTTCAAAACTTTCTAAGTTTAAATAATAAACTAGTTTTAAAACTTTTTAAATTAAATCTTTTATGAATATTTGATTTTGTTGTAAAATTAGGAAGTTATTTGAAAAAATTCTGTTCATGTTGTTCAATAATTAATAAAATGTTCTGCTCAAGTTGGTCAATAATTTATAAAACAGTAAACAGTTAAGTATTTCTTCAATTACTTCAGTTTATAATTGATAGGTGATAACCTTTGTGTTTATTTACTCCTATTTCTGTAGACAAACACTGTCTCTTATAAATTGCTAATATTGATCTTTTATAAATGTCAAAGTGAAAAATCTTCAGTATCTACAAAATACCAAAAATGACTTGGGCAAAGATAATATTAAAAATACTTTGAATTATTAGGAGTAAGAAATATCATTTAAAAAACGTGTGTTTATGTTAAATGTATTAAAATTGACATTGATTGACAGAAATATAATATATAGTAAAAATGCTGGTCAACATGGAAGCGGAATGCTAGCCATGTTGAATGCTAGATTGATAAGTTTATAATATAATGAGAAACTTGTTTATTATGGGAGGAATTATTCTTTTTGTTTTGAAGTTTTAGACAATTTTAGTATTTATTATTTATTTAGACTTTTTAAAAATTATTTTTAATATTTATCTTTAGATATTGAAGGTTTGATTTTCAGTAATAGAAAATAGTGTGTTATTTAGTAAATTTACATTTAGTTTATATATATATATATATATATATATATATATATATATATATATATATATATATATATATATATATATATATATATATTTATACCTGATGACGCTGATCACAATAGATCAGCGAAATATCGAAATAATTATATATTAAAGAAAAATATATATATTGAAAAAAAGTTTATACGCAGCCGTATTTATTGAATTCTAACCATATTTTAACATGTAACAAGAAAATGACATTCAAAGATATATATAAATATATATATATATATAAATATATATGTATATGTATATATATATATATATATATATATATATATATAATATATATATATATATATATATATATATATATATATATATAGTGTAGTCGAAAGAGACTTTTATGGTAAAGAAAGTCTCTATATATATATAGTCTATATATATATATATATATATATATATATATATATATATATATATATATATATATATATATATATATATATATAGTGTAGTCGAAAGAGACTTTTATGGTAAAGAAAGTCTCTTTCAACTATAATTTTTATTACCTTGTCTCTTAAGCTGTATTTGATTGTCATCGAAATGTCAAAGCAATTATAATGTGGAAGTACATTAAGTTTTATTATTTTTTAAAAAAACCGCAATAATAATGACTAGAAAGTTTTTTTTAATTAGCGGTGTTTTTGTTTTATTAAAAAACATTTTTAAAACATGCGTAAGTGTTGCTACATCAACTATCTTATAACCTGCTGCTACAAGGGAGCGTTGCTACATCGACTATCTTATAGCCTGACTCTCAACGGAGTGCTGCTACATCGACTGACAAATAGCCTGACTCGCAACGGAGTGCTGCTACATCGACTGACAAATAGCCTGACTCGCAACGGAGTGCTGCTACATCGACTGAGGGTTTGGTTCGGGCAGGCAGTCTACCACTTACAAAAAAAATTTTTTTTTAAGTTTTTTAACATTTTCTGGTCATGCTCATTAACGCGCTCTTTAAAACCACAGGTTACAGGAAAAACTTTGTGACTACCATGCATGACTATATATATATATATATATATATATATATATATATATATATATATATATATATATATATATATATATATATATATATATATATATATATATATATATATATATATATATATATATATATATTTAAAAAGTTTACCGACCTCAAACACTTCTAGGTCAGCATAACCTAGGCTGAATATTTGTGTATATGTTTGATATGTGTATATATTCATATATATTTATTTATTATAGGCTTTAATATTGGGGATTGAATCACAAGACTTTACACAAATAAGAAACACATTGTTAGTTTTGATAAAGGTAAAAAAAATTTGTTTTATAAATAAATTTATTTTATTTAAAAGGATGTCTGATGGCACAGCGCAGAAAGTGTGTACTTGTTTTACTATAATGTAGAATTGCTAACTACAAAAGCTACAATTTTTGGAAAAATCAGAAGTTTTATTCATTATTACAAGTTTTATTGCTAGAGATCCTATTTCATTTTTGTATTTCAGGCTGTTGAGCAAAGCATTTTGAAGCATTTCATATAACTCTCTCTCTCTCTCTTTTCCTGTTAAGACAGTGTTATTTAACTTTAATTTAAGTTAAATCCAGTTTAATCTAAGAGGTAGTTTACTAAGTGTTAAGGTATTGTTACTAAAAAGCTAAGCTTGGTAGTTTATTATTGAACCAATTTGCATTGTTAGCAGAGATTCTAAGGGTATTTTGTTGGGTCTATCTCTAATCTTTTTATATATCAATAATATCAAAAATCTGCTAGATTAGTATTTAAATCAGTAAACATAAAGAATAAAAAATAACAATAAATTCTTTTCATATTGTCTTTAATATATTCTTAAGGCTAAAGTACTTGTGTGGCAGATGCACTAATGTTAGTATTGAAGAAGTGCTAGTGCAAGAGATTTTGAGAGTGTTAGTGCAATAAGTATTTTGTACATATTTTTAGTTAGTGCAATAAGTATTTTGTACAACTATTGAAGCAGGATTGTTCCTGCTTCAATAGTTTCAATGGATTAACTTTAAGTAAAACTATAAGTTAGATTAATTTCAAGCTCCTTTAACTCAAAAATTGACTGTTCTGAACTCAAGCTTATTACATTGTTTATTAAAAAGTTTTTAAATCATTGTTCATGCAGCTAATACTAGAGCATATCTAATTTTAATCTTAGAACATATCTAATTTTAATCTTAGAGCATATCTAATTTTAAGTCTTGTAATCCTAGTATATCAGTAAGGTCCTTCACCACCTAAAAAAAATATAATTATCTACCAATAATATTAGAAAACTAATTAAGTTCTTTATCAATTTATTGCAGTAATTTTGGTAAACTATAAAAAAAATTGCATACCAAATTTAGTTGCATAGCAATAAAAAAATTTATTATCTAAAGATGTGTCAATAATTGTCTAAATTTTCTTATTTGGAATATTAGATATCTTTATTGGCTAAAATGATTAAAATAGGAAATTAAAAAACAATGTAAAAAATTAATTATTTCATCAACTCTTTAAAAGAAATAAATTTTGTAATAAAATAACTGAAGAAAAATAAAAGTAACTAAAAGCAAAATTCAAGCTAAAAAATGAACTTTTTAGATATTGCCATATTACCCTCAAGTTCAGAATCTGGGGCAGGCCCTGGAAAGAAGAATCGAGAAAGTAATTGAAGAAGAAAAAGAAAACCGCCAGGATTTGCAGGCTCTAGCTATTGGGTAAAAAGTTTTCTAAAACCATCAAATTTTTTTTTTAATTAAAAGATGAAATAGAATTTTATGTTTTTTTATTTAGTTATAAGGGAATGCTCAAAACAAAAAAAGAAAAAATGGTTCCTGAAAATAAATTTCATGCAGAAAATGAAAAGGTATAATCTCTTTTGCTAATTAGGAATTTTTTTACTTTGAAGAAAATTTTTTTAATTAATTTTTTTTTCTTTTCAGAATTCAGTTAACAAAAACAAACCTGCTGTTAAGGCTAATCTAAAACAAGTTTGTTTACTTAATTTAATACTTAATATTAATTTTAACATTATTTATTTTTACAAATTTTATTACAATCTAGTGTCTAATTGGATAGTTATTTATTATACACACACACACCCATACTACTGTATATACCTAATGCATATTGAGGTCTGCTCATAATATATTCTTTGCCGTTTAAGATCTATTTATATCTATATATTGTCTATCTGAGACTTAATCAGTATTTGTAATATATTTATATGAATATATGTTATGATATTGTTAAAAACTTCCAATTGTTACTTGATCCAAACTTAAAAATAAAGCTTAGCATCAAATACACCTCTTTGTATTGATTTCTTGCAATCATAAAAAAATAAAAGATAATAAAAGCAAGTTCTCAAGAGAGTTGTTCTTGTAAAAAAGAATTTATTTATTTATTTACATAATGATATTTATAAAGGATATACACTTTCAGTTATATAAACTATTTTTGATGTGTCTTGTTAATAAAATAGTACATAAAATATTATAATAAAAATAACAGAAATAACTGTTAATGAAGAAAAATTTGTTTTATTTGTGAGGTATATATAAATAGAGTTAAAAGCATTAAAAGTGTTTGATTGAAAAGAACTAAAGATTTACTTTTACTTATACAAGTTTCTTCAAAAAGAACCTATTGTTTAATTTATTTTTGAATAGATATTTATTTGAATAGAATAATTCTAAAGTGTTTTGAATGTTTGATGGCAAACAAGAAAAATAAAAGAACTAAATAAACTCTCTTCATGTCTTTAATATATTCTTTAGGCATGGTACTTGTGTGAGAGGTGTGAATGAATGGCAACTCTTTAAACAGCTTGGCTCAGTTGAACTCGTTTGACTTGGTTGAAAAGAAAAAAGATTATATGAGTGTGAGATTAAAAAAGAAAAAAGAACTTTAGTGTCAGCAGTTCAATATAATGAGCATTAAAATCATCAATAGCAACAATATTGGCTAATTTAATAACAGTATTGGCTGATTAATAATAACAGTGATTGGCTGATTAATAATAACAGTGATTGGCTGATTAAAAAAGACGATGGATAAAGAGAATCTCAGTAATTTTGGTCAGAAATAAAAATGATAAGACTTCAGTCTTTAGAAAAAAAAAAAAGATAAAAAACAAAGAGAAAAGTGGTTAGGTAAAAAGGTGCTAAATAGAAGCACTATGAGAATGGTCAGAGGATTAAACTTAAACTTGATTTCACAACAAATATTTAAGTTGATACTATCAGGAAGGTGCAAGCAAAAAACCCATGTGTAAAAAAAGATCTGGCGTTCATCATTTTAGAAAGGAAAACTAACACAGGTTTACATCTATACCGGCCTAAGATTTGAAAAAGAGATGCAAGGCTGGTCAACAACCTTTTTGCTTACTTCTAAAGTTTTTTGACAGGATGTCTTCTACAAGACAGCTGAATCCAGTTAATGTCTGCCCAAGATGATTATTTTTATTGAGACACTATTTTTATCCTTTAAAAGGATAAAAATAGTGTTATTTTCTTAATATAACTGTTTGTTTTCAAGTTTTAATTTTTTTTTAACATAAAAATAGAGTTTATTTATTATGAGAAAAATTTAAATATACTAAGCAAGCATACATATGTGTGTATATGTATATATACACACATGTTGTATATTATATATATTAAAAAATTTAAAGATATATTGAATTTAGGATGTATCAGATGACAGGACCTCAAAAGGTTGTGAGTAATTTATAAATGCAATACTATTTATTATTAATTATTTCTTTACATAATTTTAAGTGTATCCAGTTATTTAATTTTATTAATTGGTTTTGGCACTTAAATATTATTGTTATTTTGTTAATAATCTTTTTAAATCTGTCAAAATAATCTATTTTCTCTTACATTAAATATATACACAAATAAAGTTGACTACAGTTATTCTTTGTAGAATCAGTTTTTGTATTGATTTGAAATATTTATATTTTGGCATGTGCAATTCGAATACTTCAATATATTTGTATTTATAAGTTTAAAACTTTTATGTTGAAAAAAATAAAATAAAAGATTTACATCTATATTATTGCAATATATAAAAAAAAAATTTTTAGTAAAAAGAGAAGAACTACCAAAACTCAGGTATTTAACATTTTTTGTTAATTTATCTCTTTGGTTATGCAAACCTTTCAATGCTTTTTTAGCTTTTATAATTTGTCAAAAGTTTTAGTGATAAGATTAAGAGTTTTTTGTGAAATGAAATAAATATTTAATATATAATGATAATATAAAAACAGTTTGATATTGTGTATAGCAATAAAATTAACTTATAATCTAGTGCTACAGAAAAGAGAACCAGCTCTCGAACAGACACTACCTCTGATTCTACTGGTAAAAGTGAAAGAGAAAAAATTGTTATCGAGGAAAACAGCTATGAAAGGTTTTTAAAAAGAAATTATTTTCTTAAATAATTAAATTAAAAGTTAAATGACAATGGTATTGTTAGTTATAATTTAGTTAGCAGTCAAAATTAAAAAAACCGTTAAATTTTTAAACATTATTTTATCAGTTTTTTTTAAATTATTTCTTCCACTAAATTCAAAACCATGCCCTATGTGTACTATTCCTCGTATATTTTAATCATTAAGAATGTCTATTTAATCTTCTGTTTTACATTTTAAACTTTTTCATGTGTAATATAGACAATCAGCACAACTGGCATTAAATATGCATATAGCTGGTTTAGATAGGCATTAATGCTATTTTATACCAAATGTGCTGACTAGATTGTATCATGGTCAATTATATATGCTAAAGCTTTCCCTGGAGACACATGTGGTTCTTTATCTCATATGTCCTTGCATAAGTTTTTTATTTTAGACAACTTGTTCACGGTCATTTGTAAGTTTTATTATATTAGGCGTTTCAATTCTTTGCGGGAAAAACTAAGTTTCAAAAACAAAGAAAGCAAAACTAACTAAGTAGGAAATTATAATAAATTTAAAGAAAAAAAAAATTAATAATTTAAATAATATGCGTAGTTTTTATTTTTGTTTCCTTAGGGTGGTTGTTGTTAAATTTAGTAATTCAAAAAACATTTATCATTTGTAACCGAGTTTAATGGAACACATACAGTCACACTTATGTGTGGACATACGAGATGAAAAACTTATTGCTGAAAAAGCATTAAATTACATAATGCTTTTCAAATCAAAATTATGATATCCACAGGCTTGGTCGGGAAGCGGGAGCGATCGCTCTTGAATACTGACCACAGAAATTATATTTAGTTGCGTAAAACTGGCCAGGTTTTTTAGTCGTTTTGAGAACATTTAAGTTTATGTACGAAACAAAAATTTTTGTTTTACGGACATACATGGAAACATAAAAAACTTGAATGTTCTTAAAACATCTTTGTGAGAAAGAATAAAAAGAATATTTGCGAACACTAAAAACCCGCCAAATTAACGAACAAACTAATTCTATTGGTTCAAAAAATACGCTGATTAAGCGAAGTAAAGTTCTAGAGTATTTTGTTAAAATGTTTCAGAAATTGTATTATACACGATTTGTTTCGTTTTGAGATTTCTAGCATTGTTTTAAGAATATATATAATTTGTTTACGAAAATAAATGTTTTAAATATATATTGATTAAACAGTTAAAATTTTAAAAGTTTGTTATAAATCATAGATTTTATTAGTATATTCTTATTTTAAAAGAAATTGTATTCTTAATGTAAATGTAATTTTGTGTATTTGTTTTTTATCGTAATGTATTTCTTAAAGCAATTTTTATGATTTAAACAAAGACTTACAAAAATAATTGCGTTTTCAATGAAGTTATAATCGTTAAAGTTAATAAAACTAATTATGTAACAAACATATAAGTAGTTTTTGGTTACTAAACACAAACAACGCATACAAAGTAACTCGCGGATGAACAAGCATCGCGTCTGAGGTCACGACAGAGCACAAATATATATAGCAAATAAATAGATATAAAGAAAAGTTTCTAGATATTGGTTTACTTACTCTAATTATTTTCGCTTAAGTTGCCATTCTTAAAACTCGTTATACTTTTTTCTGTTTTAAATACTAATTAAAATTAAAAAGCCCACTCACTAAACATCATCAGCGATATTGTGAAGCAGAGTCGCTTCCTCCTCATTAAGTATTTTTAACCTTTTTAGTTGATTTCTATTTTGATTATTTAATTCTTATAGTAATTCAATGATTTAATTATTTCATTTGTTTATCTTACTAAGAAGAATCGCTTCAAATATGTTAAACTTTTCAAACTACGCAAAACATAAAATAGGTATTAAAAAAATTAACTTTTTTATTTATAAAATAATTTAGCTTAAGTAAAACTAAAACTTGCAAACTTAGTTAAATAAAGAATATTTATTTCCCTTTTAAACAATCGTAAGTTGTTACTTTATATAAAAACATCGCTCATTTTTATTTTTTTTGTAATTGTCTCTCATCGGTCCATTTAATCTTCGTCGCTTTTTTTTTTTTTTGCTTTTTAAAATGTTCTCAAAACGACTATCAATCTGGCCAGCTTTTCGCAACTAAATATTATTTACTTGGTCAGCAATCGAGAGCGATCGCTCCCGCTTCCCGACCAAGCCTGTATCCATAATGTTTTAAGGAATAAATTTATAAAATTTTAAGCTGAAAAATTACTTTTTATTAAAAGTATTTTTGGCTAATTTTTGAGGTTTATAAGGCACAGTGAGCTGGTAAAAAATATTATAAATACCTTTTAGTCTGAGCTTACTTTTTTGCACTGTATTTTTCTAAATTTTAAATTTTTAAAAAATGTGTTGTCTATAGTATTTTTTTTTATTGCATTCTTTATCATTTTGTGAATTTTAATTAGAAAAAAAGCATCTAGCCACTCACCCCATAATAACTCAAGCAGTACAGAAAAAGTAGTCGAAGTCAGGTATCAAGCTATAATTTTTTATCTTATTTATTTGATCAAATAAATTTAATGAGAAAAAAAAGCAATAGCCAGCTTTTTGTCTTATTAATTGATAATTTGATTTTTGTTGTTGTTTTAAAAAATTAAGTTTTGGTATTTTGTGATCTATTAAGTTTTTTTTTCCCCTTGTTTCTGTATTATTATCTTAATCTGTTTTCAGATAAATGTTCTTAACACATTTTTCAATTTTAAATTCATTTGTTTGATTTAATTTTTAAATTTATAGTAATAGTAAAGAAAATGGTGAGCGTTCTAAAGAATCTGACAGAATAAAAGAAAAAGATGATTGGTCAAAAGAAAAAAGATCAAGAACTGATTCTCCAACTAGTGATGGTAATTTTGTATAATTGATATAATAGGGATTTTGCTTAAATTAAAAAATTAAGATAATCCTTTTTTGTTTTGTTTTAAGAAATAATGTTTTAAGCAGTCAAAAATATATTTATGACTGTTTAATACATAATGCTTAGAAAAAAAAATTGTTTTTTAAGATTTATAACAAATATATATATATACACACACACACACACACACACACACACACACACACACACACACACACACACACACACACATAGGCTTATTATTATAAGATTTATAACAAATATTTTATATATGTATATATACATAAATATATATATATATATATATATATATATATAGAACTCAAAATAGCTGCTGGATATTGTCCGGTAAAAAATGACATCTATCAGTCATTTTGTCCAACCCATATTTGTGTGTATTTTATATTCATTGTAGTTGTTTTAAAATTAGTATAATAACTAATACTAATAAAATTAGTATAATAACTAATAAATAGATAAACTTCATTTTTTGATCTTTTTATTTTTTATACAAAACAGAAAATGAAGTTGAACACACAGCTATGTTAATAAAATGCGCCTTTATTTTGAGCTAAATCATTTTTTAAAAGACTTCTAAGCATTAAATTTTTTTTAACTAAGCAGCCCTGGTTTTAATATTTATATTAAAACAATGCAATTAGTTATTAATATAAACTTTTATATTTCAGCATTTGTTTTATTTTTTGGAACTATGCTTTGCAAAAATCCCTTAGATTTTTTTAAATTTATTTATATTTTTTATGATATTTTTTATAAAATTAATTTTTTTAAATTTATTTATATTTTTTATGATATTTTTTATAAAATTAATTTTTAATAAACAAATAAAGATACACATGCTATGGTTTTAATTTAGACCTAAAGAAGAGAAAACGTATTTCAGATGATTCTCATAATGCTTTTATGATATTTTTTATAAAATTAATTTTTTTAAATTTATTTATATTTTTTATGATATTTTTTATAAAATTAATTTTTAATAAACAAATAAAGATACACATGCTATGGTTTTAATTTAGACCTAAAGAAGAGAAAACGTATTTCAGATGATTCTCATAATGCTTCAATAAAGGTTTTTTTTACAAATTTCTTTTATATTTTGTTTGGTATCTGTTATCAAATTAATATTATCTTATTGATGTTAGGTTATCTCACTACTATTGTTTTTTTAGTATTATTAGTAATTTAGTACTTTTATTGTTATTTCCTCATGTTTTATTATTATCACATTAAGACTTCATGAGTATCTATATTATTATATTAAAGACTTTTAATTATTAATGACTCATTTTTATCTTATGTATCTCATTAATACTCTGTTATTTTAGTTCTCTTTTTTTTTTTTTTTTTCATTTTTATCTCAATAATATTATCACAGATATACCTTGGTGTTATTACAGCATTTGCATATATATTGCATTTATGAATAAAATTCTAGCCTATTATGCTTAGTAAAAAGAAATTTATATGGAACATGTAGATTCTACTTTTAGAGAGACAAATCAAATGAGAAGAGGAATGACAACAAAAGAGTAAGTCATTTAAAAAATTTCTTTTTTTGTTAAAATAAAAATCATTATTTATGGAACATTAATATTCTTTGATGTACTATGATATTCCAAGATTTGCTATTAAATTTACATGACTTACATAATAACCTTTATGTAAGTACTAATCAATTGGTGATGTTTATGCAGCATAAATAAGCATTGCAAGATTTTTAAATATGCATTACAAGAGAGCAATACAAAAACTCCTTGATCTGTTGTCATACTAGTTTGTTAAGTTTTAGATGTTTATTCATTATAATATAAGTTAACTTGTCAAAATGGAAATTGACAACAATGTTACATCTAAAGTATTAAAAGTTTTTTTTTTCTTAAAAATGAATAAAATTCTCCATTTAAAGTTGAGTTATGAATATATTACAACCAAACAACACAAAGCATTTATGCTGAAGGATTTCCATGTTATCGACAACTTTTTATAATTTGTTTAGTACTTAGTTTTGTAATATTTTGTTCTCGTCCTCATGTGTTATTTTGGTATAACTTGTTTCAGTTAATTAAACACCTAATTTCTAGTCCACTAATTTGCTGTTCAACCATTAGCCCAAAGAAGTGCAACTATTAATCCAATCCAAATTCTGCATAACTTCAAGTTTAACAAAATGTGTTCAACTACTAGTTCAAATAAGGTGCTTCGTAACAACTATTCTAACGAATTACTATGCAACTGTTACTATGCAACTGTTATTGCAAGTGTAGTCACAACACGAATTTGAAATACGTTTTTACAACCCACAGCTGACTACCGTTATATTTATAGACATTCTTTAGTTTATGAAGAAATTTTATCATCAATCAATGTTATATTTAAAATTAAATTTATATTTAAAATTAAAGGTTATATGATTATGTGTTTTTGAAAAAGTATTTAAGAAATCATCTTTATCTGGAGTTTGCATGTGATGCTTATCTTTATCTGGAGTTTGTATGTAATGCTTATCTTTATCTGGATTTTTGAATTGAAATCACTAAAACTAAAGATAAAGTTCAATAAAAAAGAGACAATCAAAAGAAAAATCAATAAAAAGCAACAAAGATTACCCAAAACTTAAATAAATAATAATCTATGAGTGCTTATCCTAATAAATGTTAAATTTCCTTTTCTTTTACATCAAAATCAGTAAAATTAAGTATTTTTTATCATAATGTTTTATCATATCAACATTACTACTGCATCTAACCAACAATACTGCATGCAACATCCTACTACTTAGAGCTACAGCAACAGCTGCAACACATTATGTATATAACAAATATGGTTATAGTACTATTGGTAAAATTGGAAACTGCTTATTACCGTTTGTTAATAAGTTATTCATGATTCTTCTTTTTTTTAAATAAAACTATAGTTCATATCGTGGGAGTGATTTGTATCACATTTTAGCTGCCTTGGTTAACTGAACAGTTGTCTTTGTTTAAACCTATATTTTTATATATAAAAATCACGAAAACAGCTATTTTTGTGTCACTGTTTTTTTTTTTTTTTTTTTTTTTGTCGTTTTGTTTTGATTTGGTATTTCAATTTTTTTATTGTTTAATTTGTTTTGGAGATTCATAAGAAGCTTTCAGTTCACTAACATCATAAGAAGCTTTCAGCCCACAAACTTTATTCTGTTCACAGATTTAAAAGAATCCTGAGAGAAAGGGTACAATATTCAAATTGCATGTTGCAGTGAGTTTTTTATCATCCCGCGAATATTTCTACTTAATATTACGTCTTAAAAGTCGATTTTTTTTTTATGAATACGAGTTTGAAAGACGGACTATAAAATTGATCACATTTTAAACTGGTCAGTGTAAGTTAATTAACTGCGTGTATTATGATGACCTTGAGGAAGCTCAAATAGACTTGGTCAGTCTGTTTTCCAAACAAAGATTGATTTTGTTTCTCATTCAAATTATTACGTTCTAACTTTACCTAAAATAAAGAAAATTTTCTACCTACAGATATTAAAAAACCAATAAAGAAAACAATTAAATTATCGGCTCCAAGATATCAGTAATAAAACCTTTCAAGTTATTGAATTGATTTGGATATGAAAATGGTACATAATGATTATTTTTTAAATAAAATTATCAAGCTCGTTTTTAAAGATTTCTATGGCAAAAAAATGTGCAATAAATGGATTGCAGAAATAACTTTCTTCAAACTTAATTTATTTAATAGTATTTTCTTCTACAGAAGTCTATATCGCTAATGTACTTGGTGTTTATTCTTTCCTTCTTTAATAAAGCTCTGTGTTACTATCACAGATGAGAACTGAAAATCAGAAAAGTTTAGTAAATTAAAAACACTTTAAATGAAGGTATTATTACTTAATATCATTGGTCGATGATCATAAAAATATAAATATTTAAATTTTTGTGATTTATGCATTTTTTTCTTTTAAGCAATCTTCTGAACCAGATTTATCCGACTCTAAGAAAAGAAAGGATGAAACTTGTAAGTTATTCTTTATAAAACTACTTAAATAAAAATGTGTGCCAAGTAACTTGTTAAATGCTTAAGCACAGGGATCATCTTTTTCCGGATATTTTTTGAGTTCCGTATATTTTTATCAAAATTTATTCATCCGGAAATCTGAAAAGTTAATTTTGACTCACGAGTAAACTGTAATTTTTTGCATATAAACGTACTACTTCATTTGCTCTGACAACGTTTAAAAAAAATGTCTTTCCAAAGCTGTTTACTGAATATAAAATATTGGATTTTTATTAATATTTAACGCAAGTTAGCTTACTTTTTTTGTAAAACAGCGCCTCCTCCCTCATTTTTGGGGTGTTTGTCGACGGTAAAAATAAAAAATATTTTCCGGATTTTCAATTTATGACCTGGATCATCCCTGTGTAACTGCAAAAATAACACTATAAAGTTATAACTATCATTATTATCATTGTTGTTGTTGTTGCTATTTTATGTGTATGTATGTATTATAGTTATAGTATAGAGTGTATTATAATTTTATATAATAATTATTATAAATGTTTCAGCTGTATCCGAATCGAGTGATCAAAGAATAAAAAAAACTGAGGTTATTTTTTTCTCATTTTTAAAAATAATATTCTAATGTGTGTGCGTGTATGTGTAGGAGGGTATGGGTAAGTTGAAACGATTTCTATAACCAACAGCCACCCTCCAAAAATGAACATATGTGCTCTATACTCATTTACCATTACAATGCTTTGTGCAGGGTTTGAAACGTGATAAATCTAAAAAAGATTACGAAAAAGACGACTCAAAGCAGCTTCGCAAAGTAATTCTTTTTATTAGTAAAAATGTATATTTTTTAAAATTATCATGAAACTTGCTAAGGTAAACCAAATTTTTTTATTTAGGAACCTCGACCATTAGATTCCAAAAGAAGCACAAAATCTGATCAAAGATCTACACAACACAAAGATCATAAAAAATCTCGAGATCGTGAAAAATGAAATTTTTATAAACTGTTTTTAATTTTTGAATTTCCATAAAAGATCATTTTTATATTTAATATAAGTTGCAAGGGGATGATGGAGAATGAAGAATTCTAAAACAACTAAATATTTTATTTATACTTTATCTTTTTTACTTTTTTGTTTTGCTTTGTTTAGTCTGTTACAAGGCAACAGACTGAGCAGGCTCTATTAATTATATTTTCGTATAAGTCGTTTAAAATCGTTTGGTACACTCATCCTAATTTGCATTTATGCAGGTTCGCTCAGGCAAGTTTCAATATATGTGCATGAAAACCTATAGGACCCGGCGTAAAATACATAGTTTAAATAAAACATTAGTTAGCAAACAGCATGACTGTACATGTGGTCCAAATGATAGACAAAATGAATGCGTCTGCGTTTTAGTATTCTAAATATTTTGTGATTTTTCAAAATTAGAATTACCACTTAAACTTTAAAGGCTAGAGGTTGTTATCATGACCAACCGAAAATGGCGATCTTTTGAGTTTTAATCTAGCTTTTCTATTTTTGAAATAAACGGGTTTTTTGCAGTTCTGTATTACAGAGCTATTTAGTTACAGAGTCTAACTAAATACTACTGTAAATGGGTCGAGATCGTTATTCTGCTACCGGGTTTATGAATAAGTTCGGACTGGAATTAATGTTATCTGTGCAAAAAAATGTACAATAGTCTTATATCGAAGCCGTGCCTAAATTGTATTTAAAGAAATCGAGAAAAAAAATTTTTTTTTTAATTTAATAATTTTTAAACAATGACAAAATATGAAAACATAAAAAACAATTTGTTCAAGTTTTGGCAAATTAATCCAGAAAAAACGAAATTGCCGACCATTTTGTAGGTATTGGGTACGCAAAATCAACTGTTTTCAAGTAAAAAATGTCTATTAAAACTAATGGATCGTTGGAAAGAAAAACATCTAGTAGTCTAACCTGTTATAATTTGATCAAAAACCAACATTCTATATATATTAAAAAAAAAAGTTTGGTCATCGTTCTGGTGGTTTCTAAAATCGCGTTGCCAGAAAACAAAAAAGTCATCAAAGTTTTGTTTCAAAATTTTTAAATAAAAGAAATAACATCGAAAAAAAGTAAAAGACCATTTTTAACTGAAAATCAGAAGAAGCAAGCGAGGCCAAGGTGTCGAAAAATGTTAGAAGAATATAAAAATACCGAGTTTGTTTTAGACGATAAATCGTTCTTTACTCATTCGTCGCTGCCTGGCAACTCTGGTTTTTATATAAGTTATTAATTTGACTAATTTATTTGATCTACTTGCTCCTGTCATTATTTTGTTTTTATCTCATTTATAAATGAATGCGTATAAATATACTTTTATTTTAAAATGTATGTAAAATATATAGAGACGAAATATACATGTTGAAAATGACTTGAACATATAAGAAGGCGTGGAGTCTAATTTTTTTCTCTTTCTCGTTTCACTTTCTACTTTTCTTCACTAAAAAAAATACATTTTTTTAACTATTATTTTTAATTATAATTTTTAATTATTTTGTATATTAAATAAAAAATTTTGTTCCAAAAATAAGGCTTCTATTCTAGTCCAAAAACTTATTCATTATGGTAGGGTGGGGTAATGTGGGTCTACGGGGGTAATCTGGGTCTAACTCATATTTATCTGTTATATTGATAATGGCTTTAGATATAAAGCTGTAATTTTTACCACTTTGTTATAACATATTAGGCTAACTAATTTTAAAATATAACCTAGCTATGCTGTTTAAACTTTTTTAGCTAAAATGCTAGATACATACCCAAAGTCATTTTTTTCTCCGTTTTTAAACTCCAGAGAAAATATATTCATAAGGCAAAAGCGTATGAAAAATGGTTATTTTGAAATTTAAATTACTATATATTAAGGATAGTATACCTTTAAGACACAAACGCCCATGTTTTATTTAAAATTTGAAATATAATCAGGTGGAGTAAAGAGGGTCTATGTGTGTAAAATACTATGATATGTAATAATATTATCGAAGTTGTTGTTAGTAACATTATAAACATATTATTTTCATCAGACCTAACTATTTTCGTGTTAATAATTCTTTAGAACTATTAAACACTTATGTTTGAAATTCATATCTTTGAAATTTATATTAAGAAACATGTATATTTACTTGAATGAAACAATATATTCACCTAGGTCAAATAAAATATTATATTTGGTGTTAAAATATTATAAGACCTATTTGGTGTTAAAATATTTTTTTTGTGATATGTCATGATTAATGCAAATTTATTTCTTTAAAAATTTAACAGATTTTTCATAAATATTACTTTAGAAAGTATTTAAAAAGCCAAGATGTTACAATAAAAAAATAAAATCTAAGTACAGCGCTGTTAGTTTGGAAAGAGCAATTATATTAGTATATGAAGAAAAAAAGAATATTTATCATACTGCTAAAGAATGCTCTGTTCCTAAAGAAACATCGAGACGAAGAATAAAACAACAAGAACTGCATTAAATTCTTGTTGTTTTATTCTTCAAACGTGAAAGTCAAAATATTGTCAAAGGTATGGTCTTCCATTACATTCTTTTGGCATTTGTAATTTAGTTGCTCAATTTTGCACAACCATGAGGATGAAAACTCCTTTTAAAAATGGAATTCCTGTGAAAGATTAGATAATTTCTTTTAGGAAGCTTCATTTTAATAAACATCGACTACGTAAACCTGAAATACTTACATTTTCAAGAGCTAAAAGTTTAACACGTGAAGTTGTAGATAATTTTTTTACTATTTTATCTGATGTAATCCATATTAATAACATTGTACCAAGTATTATATACAACCTTGATGAGACTGGGCTCTCCACAAATCACTTAACGAAGGAAGTATTTGTACATCCAAAAAGCAAAGATGTTTATGAACTGGCTGCTTCTTCTGGTAAAGCTATCTATTCTGTGCTGCTCTGTGTGTCTGCAGATGGAAGATATCTTTCAACATTTGTTGTTTTTAAGAGAGAAGGCTATCTGTATTCTAAATGGATAGAAAATGGACTACCAGGATGTACTTTTAAGGCAACAGCAAGAGGATGGATGCAAGACTTTCTATTTGAAAACTGGTATTTTACTTGAATTTTATAATTTTCATTTTTTTTCTTCCAACTTTTTTTTGTTCTTGTTGTTGTTGTTATTGTCTTTGTTGTTGTCTTTGTTTCTTGAAGATGGTACAAATGATTCAATAGAAGTAAATACATACTACGTTTGTCGTAGGTTTGTCGAATACTTTATACCATTTGTTGACCAAGATCATAAACCAATACTCTTGCTTTATGATGGTCATGGCAGTCATTTAACATAGGGTACCATAAAGCGGCCATGGACAACCATATCCAAATTGTCTGTCATCCGCCAAATTGCTCACACGCATTACAACCAATAGATGTGGCTGTCTTCGGACCATTAAAGAATGAGTAGAGAAAAATTTTATAGCGGTTTTCAAGAGAAACACAGCACGAAAATATTGATAAGACTTTTACAGGATTATTGAAACAACTGTGTCAGAGACTCTCTCCAGCAAATGCTATAGCAGGATTTCGCGGTACAGGTATCTCGCCATTAAGTAAAGAAAAGATGGAAAGTAGAATAACAGGTATTAACTTTCTCAATCAATCACCTGAACGTTATAGCCCTTAATCAAACACCAAGATCGGAAATGCGAGAAGCTATAAGGTCAATCATATTTCCTAATATAACTGCAGAAACAACAGCAATAATAGAATAACAAAAACAAAAAAGGAAAAGAGTACAAGCAAAAAGTGGAGAACTCCTTACAAATGAAAAAGTCAAATGACCGGTTACTTGAGGAACAAAAAGTTAGAGAGAAAAAAAACCAAGTCAAAAAAATTGTACAAAAAAAACTTTTACCTCTAATGAAGTAGTAAAAAAATATCCAAAAAGGTCTAAGAAGTGCGCAAAATAGCACGAATGTTACTAGAAAAGTGCAGTGATCAAAAAAATAGTTTTTTTGATCACTTTATTTCTCTGAGTTTTTAATTTTTATTATTGTGCTGTTTATGTATGCACTTTCTTTTTAAATAAAAATATCTTAAGACTACTTTTTAAATCAAAACCTTGTATATATATACTATAATGAAGGTGCTGGCATATAGAATGTATGTCAGATTTTTCATAAGCAGCAGTATTTTAAACAGCCAACATTTCATGTAGACCCACATTACCCCACGTAATGGGGTAATTTGGGTCTATATAGGCATCTTCAAATAAAGGCTCCCCAGACTTATTGATAGTATTTTAAGTAATAGTTTTATGTTAAACTTGTTCAGCAGGATGTCGAATCATGATTTTAAGACATCTTTTGTCAGAAAGCCGATATCTAAACATTGCTTTTTTTTTTAACTCAAAGTCAGAAATAGATAAAAATAGACTCAGATTACCCCACCCTACCCTACTTATACACCCCACCCTACATTACCCGTTATATCAATGCGTCTTACAGTATTTTCTAAAACTTTTAATTTTAATTCTTTAGTTACATCTCGAGCAGTAGGAAGTATGTCTTATATGCTGTATAGAAATGAAAACTCTCATTTCCAAGAGATATGAGGTGCAGTTCTGATTGAAGATTTTTAAACTATCTGTTAAACAATGTGCCACACATGTATACCAACTACACTTTTTTTGAAGTTTTGAGGCATTTTGCAAGAGAAATATTAGGTAAACTTCTGAAAAAAATGAAAAATTTTAGGAAAATTTTCAACTTGTTTCATGAAAATTTTCCTAAAAATTTTCAACTAATTACATAACATAGTTGACAAA